TATTAAAGAGCTGATTTTAATCAGATTGCATAGGAAATGAGTTCAAATAACCATAGCATTGTTATAATGAACTAGTTTACATCCAGAAATTGTCACATTGGTTTATATCCTTAAGTTCACACAAACTGACATACACATTGGCCTTAAAATTTTATAATATTTCACTGTTTAAAAAAAAGAAAACTATATGGATGAAAAACAAACTAAGAATTAAAATAACAGTAGACGTTGAAAATGGGCTACCAATTAAAGAGGCAAATTAACTTAACACCAATAATGTTATAGTTTTTATCTTCATTTTTTGCCTTTATATATACATTGTTTTGCAATTTATATCTTCTTAGATAATCAAAAAGGGATAAGTTTACATTATTTTATATGAATTATATTTTGTGGAATCATTGCTGGTATAAATGTTAAAAAGAATAAGAATTTAAATGATTTTGATTTATAATTGTATCGTTTTTTCTCTACAAGTGTTTTGTATGCATATTGAATAAAATAGATAAAATTCATGTTTGAATATTTATTTAAAAAAAAATTATACCCCTACAAAACTGCCAATTTGGGCATGACTCATATGGTACCCATATATGCATGACATAACCAGTTTGATTTCCATGTACTAGTATTTTATTGAAGCGACTAATGTAACCAAATACTTGATAATGATCATTTACGCAAAGAAAAACATTGTACTTGTTGTTCTACTGAGTATTTTAAATTATGTAGATCCCTTTACATGCTGTAATGACAAAACAAATATCAACATTGAATTATTAAAACTGCCACACACTCATTGTCACAGTTGACATGTCTTGTGTATATCCCTCCTTTTTAGGTCTGCTGGGTAGTGATGCCACATGGCATACATTGGTTACCTGCTATTTGCTTTTCTGCTCCAAGCACAACAGCTAGTGACACAAAGGAATATGAATTTTGTTTCCTGCTACATGCACAGCACAGTCTGTTGAATCAAAAATAAATTATACTGATAAATAATTAGACAATCATACTTATTATAGCCTTGGTCCTCTGACGCATGCCCAACACCTTACAAGTGACCAAGTCATGAACTTTGTGACACTTGCCAACACGATTCAAGAGATCAAGGCATTAAGCTAATTCTAACACATGTCCAACATGATTCAAGCGACAAAAGCATAAAGCTGCTACTAGTGACACATGTCCAACACGATACAAGTGACAAAGACATAAAGCTGCTGCAAGTGACACATGGCCCACACCATACAAGTGACAAAGACATAAAATTGCTGCTCCTGACCTCGGTCCAACAACACGATACAAGTGACAAAGACAATGCTGCTGCTGTTGTCACATGTCCAACGAGATACAAGTGACAAAGACATAAAACTGCTGCTTCTGGCACATGTCAAACAAGATACAAGTGACAAAGACATAAAACTGGTGCTCCTGTCACATGTCCAACACCAACCAAGTGACAAAGACATAAAACTGCTGCTCCTGTCACATGTCCAACACCAACCAAGTGACAAAGACATAAAACTGCTGCTCCTGACACATGTCCAACTCGATACAAGTGACAAAGACATAAAACTGCTGCTCCTGTCACATGTCCATCAAGATACAAGTGACAAAGACATAAAACTGCTGCTCGTGACACATGGCCAACACGATACAAGTGACAAATACATAAAGATGCTGCTAGTGACACATGGCCAACACAATGCAAGTGACAAAGACATAAAGATGCTGCTAGTGACACATGGCCAACCAAATGCAAGTGACAAAGACATAAAGATGCTGCTAGTGACACATGTTTAACAGGATACAAGTGACAAAGAGATAAAGATGCTGCTAGTGACACATGGCCAACACGATACAAGTGACAAAGACATAAAGATGCTGCTAGTGACACATGGCCAACATGATACAAGTGACAAAGACATAAAGATGCTGCTAGTGACACATGGCCAACACGATGCAAGTGACAAAGACATAAAGATGCTGCTAGTGACACATGTTTAACAGGATACAAGTGACAAAGACATAAAGATGCTGCTAGTGACACATGTTTAACAGGATACAAGTGACAAAGACATAAAGATGCTGCTAGTGACACATGGCCAACATGATACAAGTGACAAAGGTATAAAGATGCTGCTAGTGACACATGGCCAACACGATACAAGTGACAAAGACATAAAGATGCTGCTAGTGACACATGTTTAACAGGATACAAGTGACAAAGACATAAAGCTGCTGCTCGTGACACGTGTACAACACACACGATACAAGTGACAAAGGCATAAAACTGCTGTGACACGTGTACAGTACGATACAAGTGACAAAGGTATAAAGCTGTTGCTAGTGACACATGACCAACACGAGTAACAAAGGTATAAAGCTGTTGCTAGTGACACATGGCCAACATGATACAAGTGACAAAGACATAAAGATGCTGCTAGTGACACATGGCCAACATGATACAAGTGACAAAGACATAAAGATGCTGCTAGTGACACATGGCCAACACGATGCAAGTGACAAAGACATAAAGATGCTGCTAGTGACACATGTTTAACAGGATACAAGTGACAAAGACATAAAGATGCTGCAAGTGACACATGTTTAACAGGATACAAGTGACAAAGACATAAAGATGCTGCTAGTGACACATGGCCAACACGATACAAGTGACAAAGGTATAAAGTTGTTGCTAGTGACACATGGCCAACACGATACAAGTGACAAATACATAAAGATGCTGCTAGTGACACATGGCCAACACGAGTTACAAAGGTATCAAGCTGTTGCTAGTGACACATGGCCAACACGATACAAGTGACAAATACATAAAGATGCTGCTAGTGACACATGGCCAACACGATACAAGTGACAAAGGTATTAAGCTGTTGCTAGTGACACATGGCCAACACGATACAAGTGACAAAGGTATTAAGCTGCTGCTAGTGACACATGTTCAACACGATACAAGTGACAAAGGTATAAAGCTGCTGCAAGTGACACATGGCCAACACGAGTTACAAAGGCATTAAGCTTTTGCTAGTGACACATGTTCAATAAGATACAAGAGACAAAGGTATAAAGCTGCTGCTAGTGACACATGGCCATCACGATACAAGTGACAAAGGTATAAAGATGCTGCTAGTGACACATGGCCAACACGAGTTACAAAGGCATAAAGCTGCTGCTAGTAACACATGTTCAGCAAGATACAAGTGACAAAGGCATTAATGTGCTTCTAGTGACACATGGCCAACACGATAAAAGTGACAAAGCATAAAGCTGCTGCTAGTGACACATGTTCAACACGATACAAGTGACAAAGTCATAAAGCTGTTGCTAGTGACACATGTTTAACAGGATACAAGTGACAAATTAAGACATAAAATTGCTGATTGTGACACATGTTTAACAGGATACAAGTGACAAAGACATAAAGATGCTGCTAGTGACACGTGTTCAACAGGATACAAGTGACAAATGCATAAAGCTGCTGCTAGTAACACATGGCCAACACGATACAAGTTTCAAAGACATAAAGCTGCTGTTAGTGACACGTGTCCAGCACGATACACGTTTCAAAGACATTTCAAAATAAACGCTAAGAGCTTTAGTCTTCAGTTACAGGTCCACTACAGGCCACAACGGAACTTACAAACGCCACAACGCAAATTACACAGGCATATATCCTTCACCCATGCCTCATTGATGGACACCAATGACAATTATATGAACTATGCAAAGTGCATTAACAAACAGTATTACTATTGAGATAGTGTTCTCAATTATTTGTATAGTGACCTAAAGTCGCTTAAATTAACCACTTGTGTAAGAGTACCTATTAAAGAAGTTTCCTCCTTCGAGGCCGGAAAAATAAAATAAGCAAAGGCGGATATGAAACAAGGTATTTGTAATATGTTTACTAATCAAGCATCTATTGCTTATCAAGGTTGATGTATTGACCAATGATATTGGAGGGTTGAAGATGTTTTGAGATAATTCTAAAAAAAAACATTGTTCGTTTTTTATCTTTTAAAATATGAATCAGATAATTGTTAGAATTAATTTCAAGGTTAACACAGTGACGTTGCTGTTGTGGCGATACTTGTAAACCAGGTCTCGAATTGTTGTTCCACATATTAACAGACGAATCTCCTTTAACAGAGATACTACGAGGGTTCAATATGGATAACCATTAAAACAAATATATTCATAAAAATGTTGCAAGTTACTGGCAGTCAATAAGTGTTATACTAATCAGGGACTTGAGATAATAACATCATCATGCACACTGCCAAAAGACACTATACAAGATGTTCATGAACTTAACATATGAAGAAATACTGCTTTATTCAATAAATTGAGAAAAAAAAGTCTCATTTATGCATACATGAAATAAATGAACCACTAACTTGCTGAGTAACATTTACAGCAGAAAAGGTATTATTTAAAGTTGCATAACTTTGTGAAAAGTTACGTAACCAGAATACGTTGCTAATATAAACATCTCCTTATGGTATGGACGTTTCCTATGAATTTTCGTAAAAATCCAAGCAGTTGTTGCTGAGAAATAGTCCAATCTATATAATATAGCTGAAAAATCATTATATGGGCATACCTTTCTTAACAAGCAATTATCATAGTATTGCAAGCAATCCATAAGTCCCCTACCGGTTAGAACCCCATCAACATTCTGAAGGGCCATTGGCTATTCACTAATGTTTCAATTTTTCTCTATTATAAGTAAATTTGTTGGAAATGTTCTTTAAAAGTGATCACAGGAAACAGTTTTTATGAACAGACAGACAGACTATGTTAGTAGTGAAGCTTCCAATAAAGGTTCAATGAATTCATGTCAGCGGATATAAAGAAAAATTATAACTGAAAACCCATTTAAAGGGTCATTCTTTTGGAAATCATTGAACCAGACAAAATGACAGCTAATATATGTACCCACGTTCGGAATCATAAAATATGAAAAGCAAAAACAATTTGTCATCAAAATAGTTTTATTTTTATGTTATAACCATTGACTCACACTTATTACAGCATCCAATGATGTGATTCTAATTTGATCAGATGACATAAAACAACAACAACATAAGAAATAATCACACAACTTTCATTCCTAACAACAATATACAACATAAAATGATAGTTTTACCCATCGATGCACAAAAATATATGTTTTGATAATATGCCATCTGAAATTTTTGCAAAAAAGAAGAAGAAAAAAGATGTTACATTTCATTAACAAACAAGATTAGGCAAACAAGATCTCAGGAATTTTTGCTTGTGTTCTACTGATTTACTCTAAATAAAGACAATAATCTATTCTGTTTAGTATGACTGCGGAAAACTAAAATATGTACATTTACAGAAAAAAAAATAATTACATACATGTATATATATGGTTTAAAAAATTAATTTTCAATAAAAGTTTAAGCTAACACATTGCATTCTGTTTAGTTTATTTAATAGGGAAAAAATCTCAATAAAGTTGTTTGTGATAGATTCTCGAATTTATATATTTATTTCTCGTTTAGTGGTGTACGTAAGTGCGTCCCGACAAAACGTCAAGAAAAAAACACTTTTCTTTTGCATACTGCTGCCTTTTACTGCTTCCGTATTGTCAAAAGAAATGAATTTGTAAGAATTAAAGAAGTTATATCAAAATATATTACGAAGAGAATTTCACAGGAAATAGTCCAGTAAAGATATTGCTAAAATGCTTCATATTCATTAAGCCAAACAAGTTGTCGTAGTATCTATACAACTATGATTTACGGTGACCAATACATTTGAGCCGCGTCACGACAAAACCAACATAGTGCGTTTGCGACCAGCATGGATCCAGACCAGCCTGCGCATCCGCGCAGTCTGATCAGGATCCATGCTGTTCGCTTACCAACTCTATTACAAGTAGAGAAACTGATAGCGAACAGCATGGATCCTGATCAGACTGCGCGGATGCGCAGGCTGGTCAGGATCCATGCTGGTCGCAAACCCATTATGTTGGTTTTGTCGTGACGCGGCTCATATCTTATAACATCGAAATAAATGCCAACATAAATCCATCATAATATTTGAAATATAGTAAACAACTACACTGTTATTCAAGATTATTTCTTTGCAAGGTGTGCTGTGTGAACAGGTAACTGTAAACAAAGTTGTTTCCCGAAAATGAAGAAGTTTTTTGTGTGGTAAATTACGCCAAATATGTACAGTAAATTACTTACTACGTATGTCATGAAACAACATTCAAAAACAACAGTTAAACAGTTATAAGGGACATTGATGTCAAAATAAAGACGAATTTCAAACCGTCCTAAACAGTTTATACAAATACGAAAAAAAGACAGTTAAAGGGGGTCGAACGTTTAGTTAGAACAGTGTATTCTTGCCAAACTACAACTACAATAGGATCTCTATTATTATAAATCTTATTATATTTTTTACATATTGTTACTATAACAAATGCTTATATGTTAAAAACATATTTTGTTCAGTTTGATAGACGAAACAAAAATTAAAAAAAAAACAAATTAGAACACTAAGTTGGTATCAAAATGAACACATGAAACTAATGCCATTATTAAGTACAGATTCTATGAACAATTCGAACACATTCCAGTGGACATAGTGCCATAAACACAGTGCTTCAATCCGACTTATCTCCCTTAACAGCGTCCCCAGCCTGAAATAAAGAAAACATAATTTATACTCAGTGATATTTTGACTTTTAAAAAAAAAATTGAAACGCTACAAATGTACTGATGACCAAAACGCAAAATATGGTTTTCAGCAATATGGCCAATAAGTGCCGTTTTGAAAACTCTTGACAGAACACCAACAAAAAGCTTTTGAGAAATAATAATAAAATGCGTATAATAAACAATTCACTTATACAGTTTCAAATTTTTATCAAAAGTAGGCAATTGTGATACATCTTATGAATAATAAGTGAACATTCTTGTTATTGCATTCCACTATATAGCTGGTGGTCTTAAAAATAGAAAACCGAAACCAGATATCAAATTTACATGGAAGGCCTAGTAACACAGCTCATTGGGCAAATTATATACTATAACACCCTACAAAACGCCTACATATCCATTCATAGCGGGCCTCCAGTTAAATTACATTCGTGGGTCGTATTACGAAATAAAGGTAAAATTGTATTAAAACACGCATTCTTGTGCACACGAACCAAATGACACCTTAGTTTTCCTCGACTTTCAAGGATATTTCAAAATGTTTCATTTTGTTTACATAGTATGAAACTTGATCAATGGGGACATACTTGAGAAAATATGGCTACAAAAATAATTCTATTCGATATAAATGCCACTCAAATTTTTTTAAAAACATTTTAATCAAAACTTGATAATGTGCTTGAAGAGATCACTAAAATATCCGGAAAAAGGTCGCAGTACATGTGTACCCGTATTTGATAAATCAAACTAGTTTGCATTATGCTACTGTTAAATTATAACAGGCACAAAAAGGTCGATGTCACTGCACACTGGCTTACTGACTTTCTCCACTAAGGTCAAAGTCTCTTCAGCATGCCTTGGTGATTGGCTCCACCAAGGTCAATGTTTCTTCAGCATGCCTTAGTGATTGGCTCCACCAAGGTCAATGTTTCTTCAGCATGCCTTAGTGATTGGCTCCACCAAGGTTAATGTTTCTTCGGCATACCTTAGTGATTGGCTCCACCAAGGTCAATGTCATGGCAACAACATGACTCAGTGATTTACTCAACCAAGGTCAATGTCTCTGTAGAATGATTCAATAATTTGCTTAATCAAAGCCAATGTCTCTACTGCATGACTCAGTGATTGCTCGACGAAGGTCAAGGTCTTGGCAACATAGCTCAGTGATCTGTACGGTCAAGGTCAAACTCTCTCCAACATGGCTGAGTGACATTCACAATCAAGGTCAATGTCAATACAACATAGCTCAGTGATTTGCACGGTCAAGGTCAATGTCTCTGCAACATGGCTTAGTGACGTTCACAATCAAGGTCAAGGTCTCTGTAACATGGCTTCTAAATGGCCATGGTCTCGGCAAAATAACTCAGTGTCACTGTAACCTTGACTGTCTGCGCAAAAAAAAATTGAACTGCAATAATCTTGGGAAAACGCACTTTTAAGCTTAGCCTCTTTGTAGGGTTATCTTTGGAATAAATGATTTCTTAAAAAAAAGATCATGATAAAATTGATATTTACAAAGTCACTTTAAGTAACTGTATCCTCGTGATTATGAGGTTATCTATTTCCGTTTTTCAAAAACAGAAAAAATTGAGCAAAAATGTTGACTTATATCAAAAGACTGGTGACTTACCGCTTTCCGTGGGCGCCCTCGAGGTTTTTTCGGTTTTGGCTGTAACAATAGAAGATAAACATTTAATTAAAGAAAATAAAATAACGGAAAGGCGAATGATATAATAAATAAAATGCACGTGAATATTGAAATGAAAGTGTCGAATTTGAAGCAAGTTACATCACAATGACAAGTTAACATATATTGTAGCATCTTCTACGAAATATTTTAAAATAAATTCAAAGAGACTGATATACATGTAATAAAAAAGACAGTATTAAGTCAATTAAATAATCCTATTTACACCACAAATATTTTAAGTTTTGTCAAAATAACCGCCTCTCTCCAAATGTTAAGCGAGTTTTCTACTTCTATTTTTCGTACTGAATTTTTCTTAACGACTTTATCAAATAAGACAAATTGAAAGAAATAAGGGTTTAATGGCCTGGTAGTTATGGTTCCTGGCGCTTAACCAAGGAATCGTGGGTTCGAGTCCAACATGGGTCACGACCATAAATCAGTACATTACAACTGTACTCTTTATTCTAACTAACGTACTCGGGAGTGATTTAAATAACCCTGCAATGTATGTACAGCTTTTGTAACAACCAAACTAAAACATACATATGCATATACGATGTGATTTATAACGAGATGAGAAATGTATATATAATGATAGTTTTCATTACATTTCAATATATATTACGAAAGCGTTGGTTATAACAGTTTACTAACTTTCTTTAATCATTCAATGAAAATTAACAGCATCTCTTAAAATGTGTCCACATGACCAGACTCCGGATGGACAGCAGGCCAGCGGCACGGACAAGGGCAATACTATTTGCTTTTCCCCAAAGTAGTGGGGACATTAAAAAGGTAAATATTTAACCATGTTTGAAGAAGTCTTGTGTAAACATTTTGTGAGTCTAAACAGGGATTAATTTCCATACGGCGAAGAAAAGTGCTAAAAATGATTTAATCATATATATATATTATTTTATTTTAGGTTCTGAGGGCGTCTGCGTTGAAAATATTTGACCGGTGCAAATATATCAATCACCTCGGACGTTTTAATATTGTCCACAAATGTCATATGTAATGGTGTATATGTATCATGTATTTTTATGTGTGCGTTTTTCTTGTATAAGAATATACTATCTGTCACTTCAAATATTTAAACCACGTTATGCTAGGATGATTTGAGCTGCGTCACGACAAAACCAACATAATGGGTTTGCGACCAGCATGGATCCAGACCAGCCTGCGCATCCGCGCAGTCTGATCAGGATCCATGCTATTCGCTTACAAACCCTATAACAAGTAGAGATACTGATAGCGAACAGCATGGATCCTGATCAGACTGCGCGGATGCGCAGGCTGGTCTGTATCCATGCTGGTCGCAAACCCATTATGTTGGTTTTGTCGTGACGCGGCTCATTTGAATTATTTAATGAAATTTCTCCGTCTTTAGTCATCAACCATTTGAAGAGATAATACAAAATATTACAGTCATGAATTTTTTTTTCATTTGAAAATGATGACTTAAATAATTATTTGCGCGGCGTAATAAATCTATTCCCGCAAGACGATGTTATTTTCAAAGATTTTGTATGACAATAAGGTAATAAAACGTGAGGATAAATTTTAATGAAATATTTTTTTTATGAATTATTACAGTTAAATTTCTTTACACTTAAAACCCATCCTCAAAACCACTAGTATTCAAATTAAAATTACTAATGTACATATGAATATGACTGAAACATTATCACATAAAATATCTTTTTTCCCCCCTCAACCTGGGAAATGAACTTGTCTATCTTTCAATTTGGACAAAACCATTCACCATTTTAAGGGAAATTTTCTATATATGTACTGACTGAGTAGCGACCAGCACAGAGACGCCACGGATGATTCGGCTGATCTTGGTCTGCACTGGTCGCATGAATAAATTCATTTAGCGTCAACAGGCTTATGAAGGTGGTCGTTAAAATCAGTAGCAAACTTCATTATAATACAAGTACTCAAAAAATAGACAAAATCTATAACTCTCGTCCGTGGGGCGGGTATTAAATAACTTAAAATGGAAATTTTGATATCATCCCCCGAAGCCATACGTTCATTTTTATATACACCATTTTTATAGGACAGTTTTTATGTTGTTTTTTTTTTGTTGTTCTTTTAAAAAACGTATTTGTTCAACAAGCATGTAAATAAACTTGCCTGAATTAGTACCATCTCTCATTTCAAACCCGTGTTGAACACATGTTAAAAAGAATTTAATATAGCTTTTAAAAATTGTATGTTTTTCTCCATTGACTTCGGTAGTTTTTACGTCAAATTCAACCTACATCATTTAAGGTTTTTCACAATATAAATGAATTACTCAGTGTTTAAAGTGTTTTTTATTTCAAGGGGCCGGACAAAGTAAATACATGTATTTTTAAATCATGAATACATTCGTAGGTGTCGCCATTCCCATATTTTGGTTATATTTCTCACTTATAAGCTGCGTAATAATTCATACCTGCGAGATGTATCATACAAACATGAGTGTCTTGTGATATTTTAATGCAGAACACCCACCAAATGGACTCGTCCATCTGAAACATTCAGTCTGGACTAAACCATTCATCATTTTTAGGGGAAAATGTCAAGACTATACGAACAGTGCAGACCATGATCAGACGACACAAATGTGGAGGCTGATCTCGGTCATCACTGGTCGCTTGTCGTTAAGAATCAGTTCCCGCCAAAATAGTTTAGAGTAACATAAAATGATAAACATACAGGTTCCTGAGGTTTCTTCTTGCTACCCAGAGGTCTCCCGCGAGGTCGCTTCGGTTTTGGTTCTTCTGGCTGAAAATACAAATATTCATATAAAATATAAAAACGTCTTCTGGATTTAATAGATATACATGTCCGATCGTAAATACTGTAAAAAGGTGGCATTTTAGGTTATTAATATTGTATTATTCAAACTTACTTTGTCCATTAAATAAAAGAAAACAAATTTGAGACAATAATTTTTCTGACTGAGTGGAAATCCGAAAAAAGACTACAGATTGCTTTAATTTTTATACTTATATATAATATCATTTCGTGCTTAATAATTCTATAAAAAATGTTTTACATTATATTATTCCATATTATATGGAAACACATTTTTGATACATGACATGCATACAATCAAACACAAAACGTGATCCGTACTCTCAGTGCCTGAAAGAGCTGGTGGACCCTCTTTAACCATAGAATACACTCGCAAATTAAAAATTAAATCATTTGTCATGGAAAATTCTGTGCTTGGTCTTTATAATCATTTCTTTCCATTTTTAATACAGACTGCTCACAATTTTAGGTACTAATCAAATCTCCCTCTCCCCCTTTTGTTATGAATGTCTTCATTAACCTTCACATGCAAGGTTAGTTACCCTTCACCAAAAACAGTTCACTTCATTAAAAAACCCGCATGTTACTGTCATAAAAGTTTACTTCCACACTTTTTGATGTTAACTTTTCTTGAGTGCACAGTGCAGAGGTCATTGCACATTTATTCATGTAATCTTCCATATTGACTAAACCTACATGAAGACCTGTTTTCGTCTACAAAATCACCATGCGTGTGTAGTTGAGAAGGGTTCACGGAATCTCAAGTTCCCCCCTCTACAATGATTAACATCTGCACGATTTCCACAATTGAAATTGATATAAGTGAGACATCCGACTATGTTGACCTATGGGAACATCTCAAACACTCGACCCCCATTTTCAAATAACAAACGAAACTAAGGGGACCGAATGGGGTCAATAATTGACGGAAATACAGTACCTGATACAATCAGCGTTATTTCATCAATAATGTTTCTCCTAGTTTTCTTATGACAGTTTTTTCTATGGCACTGACAGACAGAATATATTCACATTCAAATGAAACGACTTGAAAGGGAGTGAAAAGTGAAATATTAAAATGCAGCGCCGCGAAATAAATTTTTCATAATATTGTTGATATAATCATATTAAGTATTATAAGTGACACCAAATCACACAAGAATTATACATGTATGATGATGTTGGTAAATGCGAGATAGATCTGTACTGTCCTATATCACATAATTATGTATGTTTAGCAGAAAGAGCAAAATTCATACATCTTTAATAAATGTTCAAAATTCATACATTTTATATAATTTCTATCGTTTTTTTATATAATATTTGAGATACTTATGGAAAATGTGCTCATTGCATACGAATCCACTTTAACACTACATTTTGAGAGAGAGAAAATGGCTATTTGTGTTTGTTTTGAACGCGCATCATTTTACATTCACGAATATCAAGCATGGGTCTCTTGTAAATGTTAAAAAGAAAATTTGAATAGGACGTTGCATTTCTACATTTGTACACATTTGTCTTATTCTGTTAAATGCAATATAAATCTCTTGGTTCTCAATGTTCTCGTGCAATTGCCCAAATTACATTTGCTAACAATTGTGGCGCAAATTATATATATTTAAGTACGACAAGAAATTAGTGCAACTGTCATGGTATAAGGACATGCTAGATTATGAACATGGCTCATAATAGATCGACGTAAAACACTTAATAAGAAGTTGCATTATTATGTTAATTAACTCTACATACATCACATTCCAATTGTATTGTTCATTGAAAAACATTTGTCACAAAAAATTAGCATAAACATAATGAACGATGGAACTAGGGCTGGTGTAGAAAGAAAATTATCAAACGCTCGGCTAGGCTAGACAGCCTCAGTTGTCGTCTGTCGCGTCAGTTTTAATGGCTGTTTCTATGGAGACAAAGGAAAGGATGTTGTCTGCAACTTTTGTATGCACAGACATTGATAACGACTTTGTTCGTAGTGTGAATAGCAAATAAACCTGGGTTTTGATCGAATATGTTCTGTTTGTGAAAATTGCCTGCTTTGTTAACAGAACGCAAATGATCAATTGTTAATGGAAAGATGTTCTTTAGTAACACTGGCCTACTTATGACATAAAAAATCAAATTTATATCAAGTCCGTTTGCCATCCGAGACTCATTGTCAGAAATGACATGATATTTTGAACAAAGAACCCGCCAAAAACAATACATATCATATGCTTCCTCAAATGTGACGTCAATAATGTAAACGTGTCGTCTGCCTTTAATAAATGCGTAACTTAATAATTAAAAGTAAAATTATGATAAAAACACTTTTATAGGATATATGTAAATTGAAAAAATGTTAAAACGTTTTTCAGAAATCGGGACAAGCTATGTGAAACACAACTAGTTCGTGACATATATAATGTTAATTTAATAATTTATTCACGCACTAATCAATATACAGTACTGTATATAAACATCAATTAGGAAAGGTTATTGACCTTGTTACTTTTAACCTGGGAAAGATAGTGAAAATAGAAATAGCATAAATAACCTGATCCGGTTTAGGTTTTCTGGGTCTTCCACGTCCCCTCTTTTCCCCTGTCTGTTCTGCAGAGCCTGTGGCCCCTCCGTCTTCTTGGTCTGACATGTGACAAGTTTTTTTTAATTATAATACACAAACTGTAGAAAAACTAGAATCCAGTGTTTCTATGTTCTCTGGCACACTTTGTTGTTTTTATATGTACACAAAGGCATGTATTCACAAATCGATGAAAATCAAGATAACAGTTCATTCATCGATCTCTCACGTCAGATAATACGATGAAACATGTAAAGCTCTGTGTTTAAAACCATCTTTTAACACTTCCTACTATAAAGACGACCACGATGTTACCAAAAATGTGCCTACTTGAACTTCACGTTTGGTAGTTTATCTCACTTCAAAGACCCAGTGATTAAACTACTTTTGAAAGTAAAATCTCCACATAAACCCTTCTCTCTCACTGATTGCCTTTGTCGCGAACAGTATCACCACTATTTGTCAGGTCACGACCTAATTCCCACGCTATCGTGGACTATTTATGAATGGAAACCTCACTAATCAGCTGGTATCTGGCCTAGTTAGAGGGCGCTTCACGTGGTTTTTCCATTTTCGTTGCGCTGATTTTTTTGGTGTGTGGGCTATAACGTTTTCGATACCGGAAATTTCAAATTGCATTTTTGTGGTTTTTAACTTGAATAGTGTAAATATTTACAGTCGTATTTAAAAAGATAGCAATCTCAAACTGTGACAACCATCATGTACAGGAAATTTAGCTGCGTCAGGACATTTTTTTATATTTTCTTATGAGTAGAAACTGTACGAAAATATATAAATTAATGGGTAATATTTTACATATCATCGGCCTCGGTTTAAAGTATATCTTTCGTAGAAAACTTTCTTAAAATAGTTTTGTAACTATACTATAATATCGGGTCTAATGTCATTCTTGTAGCTGAAAATAACTAGAACGCATTTAAAACCCTTTTTTTTTAAACGATTTTTAAAAAATTTCAATAGGTTAGAAAAATTCATAATGATCAAATTTTAAAGAAAAAGCCACAAAATCCAGGCATCAAAGCTGGAGTATAACAAGCCCCCAACCCCAAAAGTTTTTTCCCCTTTAAAAAAATTTTCCTTTTTTAGTGCAAAACGAAAAATTTGGACAATCTTAATCGATGCATATTATTCATTTTATAGACCAAAGAAGGACGTAAATTTTCCGGTAAAGCTCAAAAATTTTAGGTTGGAGATGAATGCGGGGGATTCGGGTTCGATTCCCGAACGGTGCAGATCACTTTCGTTGTGATTGATCTACGGTCATTTGCCTCTCCTCTGCTTTCTGTAAAGTGGCAAAGTTAAGTTTACAGTTCCTTTGCGAAAAAATTTAATGGGCAACTGTACTGGGTAAACTGCTTGACACTTTAAATGCAATGGGTGACCTTCTGCCCCCGAGATTCCCGGAGTGAAAAAACTACCCACACCACCCCCGATAAGTTTGTAGTAAAGCCTAAAAGGAGTTTACCACGTGTTTAGCATGCCGCGGTCGGGACATTTAAAAGTCTCCAGTTACAGGTTTTTACTGGTATAAACGTTTATTACAGTCATGCGGTTTAATTTAAACCTTACCGTTGAAGTTTTAAAAACTAAACACACCCCATTTACATTTCAACAAAATTACAGACGTAATTCAGAAATATTCACAAATGCAATAAACAAAACAGAAAACGCGCCAGGGAAAAATAAACAAGTGTCGTTTTACAATGTACATCTATTTTTATCGCCCAGTTTCCGCAACCTGCCAGCTTTTAGAACTGATGTAGATTTTATCTGGAACAGTTTCTGCATTTAGACTGTGGTTTTAATTTATAACATGTTGAAATATAGGCATCCTCACATCGTGTCACGTCATCTATCAACAAACATTACCACATACGTTACAGTCAGAGAATTTACAAATTTGCAAATCCACAATAAAGTTAATCGTTTACATCATCACAGAGCTGTTTACTTTTTAAAATCCACCAGTTTCTGTCAGAAACACAATATTATTTTTGAGTATATTTTGTACCTCTTACATTATTCACTTGTGAGACAAAAATTGTTATGTAAATACGTTTTGAGATAACGCCAAGTGCAGTGAAAAATTTAAGAAAAGGGAAAAAGGGGAAAATTATTTCTTGGAAATTTTAAATTTTCTTCACATTTTTCCCGGAGTATGTCCTTTAACTGAACAAAAATACAGGTAAAACCCTTAGTAGTACGTCTAAAATAAACCCGAAAATCACCTTAAAATTTTGAGAAAAGACGTCTTTAAACTAAAAAAAATTTTCACGCGAAAACTTTAAACCTAAAACGCCCTAAAAAGTAAAACGAAAAGACGTGTAATTTGGGGGCAAAGTATTTTAAATAACACAAGAAATAAAAACGTGAAAAGGGACAGCTTCCCTGAACAAAATTACACGTAAAAAATTTGGGCAAGCCCAAAACTAAAAGAAATTCCCCAGGCGAAAACATAAAGCTAGTTCCCGGGTCTAAACCCTAAACCCGAAAAATACACGTGAAATTTTGGGAATTTTACGTCATAACGGGAACGAAAAAAACCGCGTGAAACATGGAGCAAGTAAATGTCATAACTGAACGAAATACACGTGAAACTTGGGCAAGTACGTCATAACTGAACGAAATACGCGTGAAACATGGGCAAGTATGTCATAACTGAACGAAATACACGTGAAACATGAGCAAGTATGTCATAACTGAACGAAATACACGTGAAACTTGGGCAAGTATGTCATAACTGAACGAAATACACGTGAAACTTGGGGCAATCAGGTGTTTATATTGTTGCTTTCGATATATAACTGAAACGAAAGATTTATACGCAGATTTGGAAAAGACATGAGGTCTCAAGTTTAGTCTATTAACTGAAAGAAATATGGTGGTGGAAGCCACATGAGCCGAAGTTTATTTGTTTCATAACACGGAACCGAAAATACGCGTGTGAAAACATGTGGGAAGTTATGTTTTATAACTAAACGAAAAAATACTCCACCGTTGAAACTTGGCCGAAGTTAGCGTCAAAAACCCGGGACCAAAAATCCCGCTTTGGGGGAAAATGAAATTTTTGGGAAAGGGTTTTCCCCCCTTTTTTTAAATTTGAACTTTTTTACAAAAAGGGGCCCTGGGAAACCTTTTGGGGCAATTTACTTTTAATAAAATTTGAACTAAAAATTTTAACCAGGGGAAAAAAAATTGGGAAGAAGATTATGATCAAACCCTGAAAAAGGAAATTTAAACTTTTGGGGAAAAATTTGAGGGAAACCAAGGGGTTAATTTTTCGGGAAACTAAAAGAAATAGGGCTTTGGAACACTTAAAAGGGCAATTTTAAGGTAAATCCCCCTGAACGAAAATACACGTTTGGGAAACTTTTGGGGCAAAAATTATGTCAAAAACTAAAAAAGAAAAATACGCGAAAAAACCCCATGACGCAAGACTCAAAAATTTAAAAACCCAAAAATTTTACACGGGGAAAATTTGGGCAAGTACCAAAAGGGGAAAACAAAAAAATCACTTTGAAAATTTGGGCAAAAAACAATGAGAGGTTAAATTTTAAAAATTTTTTTGGTTAAATTTAGAACCACAGTAAACCTTTGCCTTTGAAACCAGTCTTTGGTCAGTCTTTTAAAACAGATTAACTTTTGGAAATTGATAAAAGTAAAATTTAAAAAATATTTCTTTAAATAAACTTTCCCAAGTTTTGCAATAAAACTAAGCTTTTTCTCTTTTTTGGTTAAAAACTAAAAAAAAAAGGAAAAACCCGTTTTGCCCTAAAAATTATTTTTTTATTTTTTACTTTTTTAAAAACTCAACGGGTAAAAATAAATTAAAATTAACCCAACATTACAATAAAAAGGGCTGGTAATTAATAGGTCAAAATGTCTTTTAATTTTTAAAGAAGTTTTGTTTATTTTTCCCTAATTTACTTTAAAGAAAAAATTGCCCCTAATTTTTTTTCCCCCAAAAAAAAATTTTAAAAAAATTTCTTAGCAAATTTAAACAATAATATAAATAAAAAAGTAAAAATAAATAAATTTGCAAAATAAACAGAAAAAAAATAAAAACCATTGCTTATTTTTGACCCAAATTATACCAGTAATAAATAAAAAATATGTGATTTTAAAAATGAATCCCCTGCACAGGTTTTTAAAAAAGGAAAAAGAAACAAAAAACAGAAAATTTTTTAAAACTAAAAATTTTTTTTTGTAATTCTCGCCCATTTTTTTTCCCCGAAAAAAATTTTAAAAACATAAGGGGTTTAAAAAAATTTTTTTCTAAAAACTTTTTTAACAAGGGTTAAATCCCCATTTTCAAAAAAACATCAAGAAAACAAAACCAGTAAAAAAATCTCTAAAATTTAACTTTTAATTTTGGGGCCCAATGAGTCAAAACAACATGCCCCAGAAAAATCCAGTTTAATACTACAGTTAGCAACACTTCAACTTCTCAGTTTAATATTCATCTATAAAAGAAATACCTTACATTCTTTTAAGTCTAATGCTATTCAGTCACTTGTCAAATTATTTGCACCGGGGGATTTTACAAAAAGAATATTACTGCATTAATTTTAGGGAAACTTTTAAAATCAAGACACCCAAAAAAGAATAAAAATTTAAAAGTACATTATGCTGTTTTTAGGTAAAATACTCTTTTTCCCAGAAATTTGTTGCAATCCTTTGAAATTTTCTTATTTGAAAAATGTTAATCCCGCCCATGCTTTCCCGGGAAAAAACGGGAAAAAGTTGTTGGCCCTTTTTTCCTTAAAAAAAAAATTGCCAGTTTTTTTACAAAAGCCCCAATTTTGGGTCTTCTTTAAAGTGTGTGGTGTTTAAAAAAACAAAATTTTTTCTACTCTGTGTATTTTTTTAAAACTTTTTTTTATCTCACAATTATAAAAGGAAAACTGTGTATCAGATTAGCAAAAAACTAACTAACATTTTGAAAAAATTAAAATTTTGAGTAATATGAAAATCTTTTTGGGAAACTTTTCAAATTTTAAGCACTTTACCATTTATTTAACTCATAGCTGTTTTTTTTTGAAGCCATGTTACCCTGGGCGGGCCCATTTGAGTTTCCAAAAAGAAAATTTATTTGAAATAAGCATTTTTAGAGATTGGGTCCCAAATATAGGTTTTACAAAAACCCCCCAATGTAATTAAACAAAAAAAATTAAAAATTTAAACTTTTTTTAGGAACATTCTTTATTTTAAATGCCCTTTGTGCAACATTATAAAATTTAAAAATAATAAATTTAAAACTTTTTCCCCCTTTTCAAAAAAACCTTTTTGTCCTTTTTTAAAATTTTAAAAAGGTTAATTTTTACTAATTTATCCCCTTTAAAATTACATTAAAAAACCCCCCTAATTTGTCACAGTTGCAACATAAGATTTTTTTGGAACACATTCTTTCTTTTCTGTTTCTTTAATTTTGAATGTTGCTTTCTTTTTTAAAAACTTTTTTTGAAATTTTCCCCTTTAAAAAAATGAAAATTTTTTTTTGGGAAACCGGCCCTTTTTTAAGAATTTTAGTCCCGGTTTAAATTTTTCCAAAATTCAGTGACTTTGGAAAAAAAATTATCTAAATGTGTTCCTGTTCTTCACTTTAATTTATATACAAATATACATGTAAAACTACCATTATTTTGATCAGGTCTTTCAAATAGAGAGACCCCTGTTTTCACTGATGTTTGACAGAAATTTGAAAGATTTCAGTCTGGCAAGCTTTCACTTTAACAATGATATGAAACAAATTTAGATGATTTACAGCTTATCCTGTTATTTCCCTGATGAGACATTATTATTATTTCTGGGGAGAAATAATTCCCCAAAGTTTATCTGTTACTTTTACTGGTGAGGTAATAAAACACCTTTATCTGTAACCTCTGATGTAATAATTCACCTCTATCAGATGATAAACAGAGGACTCCATTTTTCTTTGTTGCATTTTAATAACATACATGCAATTCATTATTCTGTATTCACAGTCTCTTTTTATGAAATATAAAACAAAAATTTGGCACCACAGTTCTCTGGACTGCCAGTCCAGTATGCTAACCACTCCACCACAGAGGACTTTGCGATTTCTTTGAGCTAATTGGCCTTATATATTTACGTTATTCTTAACTTTATTGTGACATCATCACTTTCATTAGCATTGCAGCAAGCTATTTATAGTTAATTTTACCAATGTTGGATATGAACATCTACCCAAACATTCAATTAGAAACAATTTTATTTGGGATAAATTTGGGAAGGAGAAAAAATTCCCCGAATTTGTGTAAAATTAAATCTACCCCCCCATTGTAAAGGGCCAATAAATCTTCCCTTTTTAAGCAAATAAACAGGGTTAAATAAATGTTGAGCCCAATTTTCTTGTTTAAAAGAGCTGTTTTCATAATTTTTATTATTTCCTTAAAGTAAAAAAAAAGAAAAAAATTTAGAAAAAGAAATTATGTACCCTAAAAATAAAAAATATGAAGAAAACAAAAAACCCCCCTTTACAAAACTAAAAAAAAACTTTTCAATTTGAGCCTTTTTTTCCTAAATCATTAACACATTTTTACATCACCCCGATTTAAAAATTTTTAAAATTAAAAGGGACACGGGGAGATTGAAAGCAACAGTGGGGGGAACCCATAAAAAACCCAAAAATGATTTTTTTCTTTCCCGATTACTTTAAACCCCTGGGAAAAAACCAAAAAACCAAACCCCAAAAAAAAAAGGGATCCCTTTAAATTTCACTTGCATTTTTATAAAAACACATAATCAAAAAAAGCACCTTTTAAAAGGGGCACCCTTTTAAAGAAAAAAAATAAAGTAGCTTTTATATTTTTGTTCATCCAACAACAGTGATAAAAATTATTAAATGTACACATTTTTTAAAAAGAAAAAAAATGTCAAAAACTTTTGGGTTTGGGGGCCCTCAAAAAGGACCCCCTTTTTTTAACATTTTTTAATACAGTTTTTAGAGACCCAAAAAAACTGCACAGTTCAGCTAGGGTTTTTTCTCCTTTAAATAACAAAATAGTTTGTTTATTTTGATTGTATTAACACTTTTCATTTTGAGGCCCCAAAAAGGAGTATATTTTTAAAATTTCCTAAATTTTCCCAAAAACTACATACCAATTTTTTCCCGAAGATAAAGTAACCATGACATGTTTAATTCAGATAAAAGCTTGGGTGTTTTGATTTTTTAACATTGATTATACAATATGTCACAACAAATGCTGAAAGTTTTGGATAATTCTATTTTTTACTCTGCAAATGATTATTAGCTGGTACATGAGGTCAGGCATTGCTTTCTTGACCCCCAAATATTCAAACGTCAACATCTTGAAATAGACATTAAAAAATATTACCATTTTTACAGAGGTTGAAATTTAATTTATTTACTTAATTTTAGAAGAAACAATTGAATTTTATTGTTGATAAAAAAGTGGACCGAACAAACCACTGAAAAAGAAAATACTAAATTAAGCCATTTTCTTGGGGTCGTCCCGGGTTTAATGGTTGTCCGGTTTTTTGGTGGTCCCCGACCAGTAGAGATATGCTTGTGATAAAAATTTCCCTTGCCAATTTACACCACTTTCCCTGTAAAAATCAATCTCTGAATGACTTTTTCCGGACATATTTGGTTCTTTTAGAACACAAACTTTACAAGTCAATTCTACAAAGTTCATTACTTTTGGCATTACAGATCAGCAAGTTCAAAAAAAGCACCATCTAAATCCATATCATCGTCGTCATCATCATCATCGTCCTCGTCACTTCCAAGTGATAAAATAATATCATCATCATCGTCGTCGTTGTCATCATCATCACCACCAAGATCATCATTATCACCACTGTTATCTGTAACAAACATAGCATGAGATAACAATGTTTTCGAGTATGACATGCAAAAAAATCTGTAACAATTTTTTCAAAGGTCAAGTTCATATTACTTTATATTATAGTTTGGCTCTAAAAGTTGATTTGTCTATGCATAAACCGAATCCACCAATAAATAATAAACTTACAGCAAATTTAATGAATTCAAAAATATGTTGGTCATTAATAACAGAGACTCTACCAATTTTACAAAAATTCAATAATTTGACTTTCAGGGTCAAGGTCACTTATTCACGTCATTTATTTCTTAAGGGTAAACAAACAGCCTCAAACCAGTATACCTGCATTACACTTTATTGTGCAGGGATATATTAATATTTACAGACAGCACACTTACTATCATTGTCATCATCATCATCATTGATTATAAATTCCATATTATCATCGTCGTCATCATCATCATCGTCGTCATCATCATCATCATCATCGTCATCTTCAGCAACTTGCTCCTCTTCTTCTTCATTTTGCTGGAATAGAAACAAAACATCAATCATGTGTTGCTTAGAAACAATCATATCAACAATGAGGTCCATAAAAAATTATCATCTTAACAAGAAATATGAAATGGCTACACTTTTACTTGAATAAAATTTAATTAGTGAATATAGACTTTTAATGAAAATTGAAGTTTCATAAAAATTTGATTAACTTGTGCAATTTCTTCGAAATCTCCTTTTGTCTTTCCTTCCCCCAGTTTTTTATCTCCTATACAGAATTATAAAGTCCTAAAGCATAACTTTACCCCCTCTAACTTTTTAACAGAACAATTTACTTAAGTACATTCATCCTACACATATGAAGCCATTTATCACATGATGGTTCAACAACAGAATTACCTTGCCAGCCAGAAAAACTAATAACACTCACAGTGAAGTAATATCCAGGGTTTTAATTTTTATCTGAGGCAACAGATGCTCCAAAGAAAACAACTGATTTTACAAAGGTTCAAGGGTGATATTTTTAATATACAGGATAAAATACAGCATTTTAACCGATAGTTTGGATCGCCAATCAGTTAATAATGAAAACCCTGGATATCATAGATATAATTTCAAATAGTTCTTCTAAACTGGTCTTGTTAGCAGCAATACAGTTAAACCAAAAATTCAGAAGGATTTCACAATTTCTATAATCCTGTTCTAAGATTATTATTTTTCGTTACAGGTAAACATGACAGAATGGCCTCACCTGATCATCTTCATCATCCTTCATTTTACCAATCTCATACAGTCTACAGATATTCTCCTCCGCACCTACATCTACTGACTGCTGATTCTGTTATATAAACAAACAAAATATACAGTCAAACCTTTATATATAGATATATATATTATCAGTCTTCAGAAAGTCAAGGGGTAAGACCTTTTAAGATAGATGAGTCTCTCAAAAACTAGGTTGTTATATTATTATAATAGATAAACAAGAGCATCGCATGTGGTGCTAAAGTTTGTCTGTTAAAAATTTTAAGTTAAATAGTGGCATAACTTCCAAAATTTAGCTTTCAGAATAATGCCCCTTGTGTAACAACTGCACCATGTCATTATAAGCAAGTATATTCCAAGTTTCATGTTGATAACTTGTGAATTGTTGAAATAATGGGCTTCATTTAAGTTTTTGCATAACAATGTCAAGGCTGTAGCAATCACAATAGCTCAACTTTTTCTTTAAAATAATAAAAAGGTTTCATTTAGTTGGTTTTTCATAGATTGCCAACAGCATACATTAAATTGTATTGTTAACACATTTAACAGCATCAAACAGATACCCTGTCAGAATGTGAACATTCATTTTAAGATAAGCAAAAATATCTATAGTGAAAAGGAACATTATGACTGTATGAAGCCAAAATTTCTTGTAAAATTCAATAATAAACAGAACAATACAATCAATAAATCAAAGATAAAATATCAACAAGAATGTCGAACGACACATATACCCCCCTTTCTAGCCATTAACTCACATAATTGGTAATTTTATTACAGAAACTTGCCAAAAATGGGTACATGAAAGTGTTCAGTTATGGAAAAATCAACAGAAACCATTTTGACATTTAAGGCCCATGTGACATTGACCTTTGACCTTTGACCCCAAAATCAATAGGGGTCATCTACTAGTGATGACCAATCACTATGTGAAATATGAAGACTTTGTGATGAATACTTTTCAAGATAATCAGCGGAAACCGTTTTGACATTTAAGGCCCCTGTGACCTTGACCTTTGACCTATTGACCCCAAAATAAATAGGGGTCATCTACTAGTTATGACCAATCACTATGTGAAATATGAGGACTTTGTGATACATACTTTTTAAGATAATCAGCGGAAACCATTTTGACATATAAGGTCCCTGTGACCTTGACCTTTGACCTAGTAACCCCAAAATTAATAGGGGTCATCTACTAGTTATGAATAATCACTATGTGAAATATGAAGACTTCGTGATGAATACTTTTCAAGTTAAACAGCGGAAACCATTTTGACATTTAAAGCCCCTGTGACCTTGACCTTTGACCTAGTGACCCCAAAATCAATAGGGGTCATCTACTAGTTATGACCAATCACTGTGTGAAATATGAAGACTTTTGTGATACATACTTTTCAAGATAATCAGCGGAAACCATTTTGACATATAAGGTCCCTGTGACCTTGACCTTTGACCTAATAACCCCAAAATTAACAGGGCTCATCTACTAGTTATGAATAATCACTATATGAAGTATGAAGACTTTGTGATAAATACTTTTCAAGATAATCAGCGGAAACCATTTTGACATTTAAGGCCCCTGTGACCTTGACCTTTGACCTAGTGACCCAAAATTCAATAGGGGTCATCTACTAGTTATGACCAATCACTATGTGAAATATGAAGACTTTGTGATACATACTTTTTAAGATAATCAGCAGAAACCATTTTGACATTTAAGGTCCCTGTGACCTTGACCTTTGACCTAGTGACCCCAAAATCAATAGGGGTCATCTACTAGTTATGACCAATCACTATGTGAAATATGAAGACTTGGTGATAAATACTTTTCAAGATAATCAGCGGAAACCATGTGGTCTACCGACATACAGACCGACAGACCGACGGACAGACAGACAGACAGACAGACCGACATTAGCAAAACAATATACCCCCTCTTCTTCGAAGGGGGGCATAACAATCCTTCATGAATGTCATGAACTAAAACTCAAAACAGAAATAAACTCTTAACAAAACATGGTAATACCTTCTGAATCTGCTAAAATAAGGACATCTTTACGTTATACATGTACACGTAAGTGACTTTTCCTTAATCTGGACAATTTCATGATCATTTCAAAGAATGACACTTACTATTATCCAAAACTGAACATTGTCCTTATGTACCAAAATAGACAGAATCTTTCAGATTTAACCCATTAATACCTGCAGCAATTGAAAGTGATAACTCTATGCCAACATTATAGAGCCAGGCCCAGCCTGCACATCAAAGCAATCTGATCAGGCTTTTTACTGTTGAATGACAAACTTAAAAATTAATGCCAATCTTGATAACCATAAAATTGATAATGGATAGTTCTAAAATGGAAGCTGGACAAGTCCATTCAATAATTTCAGCAGGTAAAAGGCCGATTATACCCAAGAAATGCTTTTATTTTTTATGTCTGCCCTTTCTAAGTAAGTAAAAAAATATTCCTTTCTGAGGCATAATGCGCCTTTGAGGGTTAAAACCTATTTTTTGGGTTGGGTGTATCTACAGTTATTGTAAAACAGCCTATAAACATTCCGGAGTTCTGTACCAGCACTAAACAGCCTTTCCTCAAGTCACTGCCTTTTGACAAACATAACACATATCAAAGATTTATTGTTCAGTGGCTAATTTAAGTTTCTATGTGTACTTTAAGTGATGTATATGTTGACAATGATAGTATAATATAAGAGAATAATCTGGTCATACCTCTACTACAGCTAGATAGGTATCTGCAGTATCTGTACATAGATCAGATATACTCCTTGACTTTACATCCATTGTTGCTGTAAAATAAAACAACACATACAACAAATGTAAAATCTACAATCTGTTTTGTCACTCTTAGACTTTAGCACAGAATTTTCACTGTGTATGCTTAATAAACATTTACCTCTGGAACAAACAGTCTTTACTGCCCATAGATCAAGGCCAGAAAAATAGAAAGCTAGACAAGTGCATTTAACAAATTCAGCAGGACATGAGCTTAATTTCTATTGTTAACTCATTACTGTGTGGCAAAATTTATTTACTCCATTTTCCAGTTACCGATTTAAAACATTATATTTTCTTTTTTGAGGTTTTAGTATGCTATATACAATAACATGTACTATGTATTTCCTTTCGTATTAATTTAAGAAAGAGAAAAAAATATAGCAGAATCACCAATAGATGATTTGCAAATAGCTAAAATAAGTTTTCTCAATAAATCAAACAGGAAGTTACTACTGACAAAGTTAATACTACTTTGTGGCTATAGTTGCAAAGTTAATACTACTTTGTGGCTATATCATAGTTGCAATGAACAATACATAATTAATTAGTTATAATTAATTAATTATGTATTGTTCATTGCAACTATGATGCTCTTTATTTATTTGCTCTAAACCCATTATATCAGTGCAGACCAAGTTCAGCTGGCTTATCCAAGCCATCTCTACAGTTCCCTTTACAGTCAACAAGTTTTTTTTAATTCAACCTAAAACTGATGATTGGTTTTGTCTGGATCCAAAGATGAACAAGTCCATTTAAGAGATTTAGCATGATAAGGATGAGTGCTTTGGAAGAATTAAAAGTCACAGTATTACTGATTGTTCACCTTTCATTCTAAAAGCAAGGATCCTGATATCCTGTATGTGTATTATTTAAGATAAAAGAAGGCACTTTCATAGAATCACAGATATACTGTTTGCATAAAAACACCAAGTTTACCTATAGCAGCATAGTTAGTGGCATCAAATGTCCTGAATGTTGAACCATACGGGCTATGTCTGTCTGAGTCTAACTCTAACTCTTCATCTATATGTGTAGCTGTAAAAATATAACAAAACTTTTGTCAATTATGCTCACACATGTTCATGAAAATTTAAAATTTCAGGTAACACTATGATATAACCCCCATTCTATTTATGCTAGGGCATTTAAACAAGAAAATATAAATAACTTGAATTAAAATATCTAACATTAAAATATAGAGGATATTTGTTTAGTTCAGTGTAAAACAGTTAAATTATCAGTTTTTATTTCACTGATATATTTCTATAAACCACCGAAAAGCATGTAATAAATGGATTTAACTCACTACAGTGTTGGAGTAATACCTCTGGATGCTTGACTGAAATCATGATCATTAAGTAGAAGAAAATTTCTTTTTTCGAAGATCTTACTCTTTTCAATATATATATATATATATATATATATTATATATATATATATATATATATATATATATATATATATATATATATATATGATCCAATATAAATTGGTGTACGGAGAAGAATAAGCTGCTTGTGAAAAGATGAGATTGTAGCATTTAATCATTCAATCAAGCACCTTGTTCACTATACACGGGAATACAGTATATACTTTAGAGTGGTGCTCCAACACTTTTTAAAACATAAATATTATCTTACCATACATGACATCACCAAGGTGATTAAAGCGTATCTGACACTGATCTAGGGCAGGTACTGTATGTAACAGTCGGAATGAACGTATATCCCACTATATCACATGTCAAGGAATTAAAATACAACCATGACTTTCTGAGCAATACATTGTAACAAACAATTAGATCACAGATGGTTTTCACATAAACATTTTTATGTTTAAATCAAAAGAAAGACAATCTTCAAAGAAAAAAAAAAAAATTCCTGCAAATAACAATTATGTGAGAAAAAAGCAAACTGCCATATTTTGCCAAATATGCAAATCCAGACAAATATTCTCCAGGACAATTGCTTAACCATCATTTTGTCAAAGTTGAGTTAAAAGTAAATGCTGGAGTATTTTTTGCATAGAATTAATTATTTACACAAAGCAGTATGCTCAAGTCCACTAATATCATAACAAAAGTTTTAAAGCAGCATACCTCCAGATTCATGCTATTTTTTTGTTGAAATTTTTGAAAATGTATTAAAAAAATTAAATATTGCGAAAAGAACTAAGAAAATAATTTTCACATTGCAAGCAGCACATACAAGTAATTTAAACTACCAAAAATATTTCAATATATACACGAATAGCCCTTACTGTATTAGTAACGCAGTAGAAATAAGGTGAAAAATACTGCAAAATCAGACATAAATTGCACAAAACATGAGAATTGTTATTTTTATCTTGAATTTCTTTGCTTTTCTTAAAATCTCGATACTTTTTTCTCTTTTGATTTCATGAAATATGTTGGCTCATCTGGAGGCATGAAGCTTTAAAATAAGATCATTTTGTCACCTTAGTGCAATAACTGGTTAGTTACTGAACAAAGAGATGATTTGTGTATACTGGCTATTATATAAAGATGACTGGTTATTAGTTAATGTTGACAATGTTTTTCTTAAAGGATACAACTTCAGAATTAATGATTATTTCTAATCCTACAGGATGAAACACTCCACTAACATACTGATTAAACTTGTCAAACTTGTGTATAGCCTTCGGTGTCCTGATATCCCACAATACACCATCATTGAGAACTAGGTCGTCTGTAGGATTGAATACTGCACGGTTAGCTTTATAATTGTTGGCTTTATCTGCGTCATATAGTCGTATTATTCTGTCACCCGTAGTGATGTCATATATCTGTCAATTAATATAATGATAACTAGAAATGTGTCATCATGCCACGGATGCCCCCGCATGCAGCCAAAATTTCAGATGTTATAATATTTAGTTCCAAATTTGTTTGCACAAATTATTTTTTTCATTTTAAGTTCAAAGCCCTTAAAACTTTTCAATGTTAACACAAACCATTTTCATACAATGTTCAAGGCACTGAAATTATTCAGTCTTAACCTTTTGAAAATAGCATATTGCATATTTGTAGCCAAAATAATGGCTACATACATTTCCACAAAAGTATGAGTGCTGAAACTGAAAGTTCAAAATTTTTCCAACATTCAGGAAAGATAAGTTTGTCCAAAATCATTGAACCACGACCAAATTCAAACTTAAACTGCTTATTCCTAAGATGTATCTATATTATTTTCAAAGTGAAAGGGACATAACTCTGCCAAAAATCATCAAACCATGACCAAATTCCAACTTGACCTGCCCATTCCTTTGACATATTCATATGTCAAATTTGAGTTGAATATGTAACACTGTTGGGTAGATAATGAACAGAAACTGTAAATTTCATATTATTTTCAAAGTGAAAGGGGCATTACTCTGCCAAAAATCATTGAACCATGACCAAATTCGAACTTGGCCTGGGCATTCCAAAAACATATCCATATGTCAAATTTGAGTTGAATATGTTGTACCGTTGGGGAGATAATAAACAGAAACTGAAAATTTCATATTATTTTCAAAGTGAAAGGGGCATAACTCTGCCAAAAATCATTGAACCATGACCAAATTTGAACTTGACCTGCGCATTCCTTTGACATATCCATATGTCAAGTTTAAGTTGAATGTGTTGTACCATTGGGGAGATAATGAACAGAAACTGAAAATTTCATATCATTTTAAAAGTAAAAGGGGCATAACTCTGCCAAAAATCATCGACCATGACCAAATTCGAACTTGACCTGTATTTTCTCATTACATATCCATATGTCAAGTTTGAGTTGAATGTGTTGTACCGTAGGGGAGATAATAAACGGAAACTGAAAATTTCATATTATTTTCAAAGTAAAAGGGGCATAACTCTGCCAAAAAACATCAAACCATGACCAAATTCGAACTTGACCTGTATTTTCTCATGACATATCCATATGTCAAATTTGAGTTGAATGTGTGCAACCGTTGCTAAGATAATGAACGGAAACTGATGATGATGGAATGACGGAACAGGGTAACACTATATGCCCCGGCCATTACATGGCGGGGGCATAAAAATGTAAATTACTTATTTCATCTACAATATATATACACATAAATTTTATTCCTTGATGTTAGTGTTTATAATTGTAATTTCTTTTTGTAAAAACAGTTATACAATGCTAAACTTCAGTGGTCCAACATAAGCATAATAATGCCTGTTTAGGCATTCATACCTTTTTGTCTGACCGCTGATGTCATTATAAATATTATTTAAAGGCCCTCTGACACATATATAAATAAAGAAGGAACATGTTCATATAAAATATATGGTATTATACTCCTTCCAACCTTAGTTAGGAAAAGCATGCACCATGCCAAGAACTCATACTTGAAATATGTGTGTAGTTCAAATTTTCTCCCTTGAAAGCTTAATTGACAGAAAATTGTATTTATAGACCAACTTACATTTGCAACATCCTCTTTGGTGCCTATTAATCTATCTTGTACATGTCTGCTAAACTCCAGGTGATGATCTTCAAACTCAAATCTGTAAATTGTAAACAAAATATGTTTTTAGACTAAGTCATTGCATAAACAACATCAATGTAAACCATGATATTACACTCATGCTTACCTGCTATAAAATTTATAAATAATGCTATATATCCAAATACTCCACCATGTATAATCATATATAATCAATATATGGAAGATTGAGTATAAGACAAAGTCCTGTTACAAATATTTTACTTTTAATTCTCCTCTCTTACAAAGAAAGTTGATCTTTTTTTTAAAACAAAAACTATGATAAACTTTCCTATTAAAACAGTCTGTAAGTCAGATATACACTTTGTATAAACAAAATCTTTTCAGTCATTCCAAGGAAAGCATGTCACTGTTTAATTTAGACTAAATTGTACAAAGACTGAAATACTTAATGAAAAGGAACAGTATAGTTATCTGTAGTAAAGTAATATATAAACTAATAGTTTACCCTTTGTCAAGAGTTTCAGCTCCCCATGTCCACAATGCTGAGCAATTCATGATACCATATGTTGTTGCAGTTATAACCATCTTACCATCCTGTATGGGATATATAAAGCTCTTAACATAGTGCGTTTGCGACTAGCATGGATCCAGACCAGCCTGCACATCTGCGCAGTCTGATCAGGATCCATGCTGTTCACTATCAGTTTCTCTACTTGTAATAAAGTTGGTAAGCGAACAGCTCTCCATCAATTTAAATATCTAGTCATGCACAATTTAAGAAATTCTCGGCACTAGTTTAAATTTTCTACCTTTGCCTTTGTTAAACAAGAGGGCCATGATGGCCCTGAGGTCGCTCACCTGTATATAGGCCCCCCCACCCCCAGGCCAATTTTTACCCAAGGGCTTTTATTTGTTTATTTGAACAGACTTGGTAGACACCCATAAGAGGATGTTTCATGCTAAACATTTAAGTTCTAGCTCATTGGGTTTTTTAAAAGAAGATTTTTAAAGTTTTTAGTATACACATATAGTTAAAAACAATGACACCCTGGGGCAGGGCCAGTTTTGACCCCCGGGCTTTTATTTGAACAAACTTTGTAGATATTTACTTAAAGATGTTTCATGCTTAATATCTAAACTCTAGCTATTTGGGTTTTTTCATAGAAGATTTTAAAGTTTTTGCTATACACATATAAGGAAAATCAATGACCCCCCCCTCCCCCCCCCCCCGGCGGGGACAGTTTTGACCCCAGGGCTTTTATTTGAACATACTTGGTAGACACCCATTAGAACATGTTTCATGCTAAATATCTTAGCTCTAGCTCTTTGAGTTCTTTAAAAGAAGATTTTTTAAGTTTTTACTATATGCATATAGGGAAAATCAATGACCCCCTGGGGCGGGGTCAATTTTGACCCCAGGGCTTTTATTTGAACAAACTTGGTAGACACTCATTAGAAGATGTTTCATGCTAAACATCTTAGCTCTAGCTCTTTGGATTCTTTAAAAGAAGATTTTTTAAGTTTTTACTATATGCATATAGGGAAAATCTATGACCCCCTGGGGCGGAGCCAATTTTGACCCCAGGGCTTTTATTTGAACAAACTTGGTAGACACTCACTAGAAGATGTTTCATGCCAAATATCTAAGCTCTAGCTCTTATGGTTCTTTAAAAGAAGATTTTTTAAGTTTTTACTATATGCATATATATAGGGAAAATCAATGAAAACCCTGGGCGGGGCCAATTTTGACCACAGGGCTTTAATTTGAACAAACTTGGTAGACACTCACTAGAAGATGTTTCATGCTTAATATCTTAGCTCTAGCTCTTTGGGTTCTTTAAAAGAAGATTTTTTTAAGTTTTTACTATATGCATATAGGGAAAATCAATGACCCCCTGGGGCGGGGCCAATATTGACCCCAGGGCTTTTATTTGAACAAACTTGGTAGACACTCACTAGAAGATGTTTCATGCTTAATATCTAAGCTCTAGCTCTTACGGTTCTTTAAAAGAAGATTTTTTAAGTTTTTACTATATGCATATAGGGAAAATCAATGACCCCCCTGGGCGGGGCCAATTTTGACCCCAGGGCTTTTATTTGAACAAACTTGGTAGACACTCACTAGAAGATGTTTCAGGCCAAATATCTAAGCTCTAGCTCTTAGGGTTGTTTAAAAGAAGATATTTAAAGATTTTTCTTTCGGTTGCCATGGCAACCAGAGTTCTGCATGGAATTAAATTCTTTGAACAATTTTTAAAGGTGACCACCAAAGGAACATTCCTGTGAAGTTTGGATGAAATTGGCTCAGTGGTTTATGAGGAGATGTCATTTAAAGCAAAAGTTTACGGACGGACGCCGGACGGACGCCGGACGAAAAGCGATCACAAAAGCTCACCCTGTCACTTTGTGACAGGTGAGCTAAAAATGCACTACTCCTGGAAACGTCTTTAAGGAATCAAACTTTTTCCAATCTAAACACAAATGGATCAACTAATATAAATTAACAATGTATGAGTATGTAAGTTCATATGACATAAATTATTGCCTATCAATTAAAAAAGGAAACTTGCTAAGATACCACATATTACAAGAGCATATTTTATACCAAACACATAACTTGACAACCTACCCTTGAGTGTTCACAATGAGTTAACGGAGATGAATGGCAGTGAAAACTTCCTGTCTCCTGAAATATTACATAATGCATTACCTTGACTATCAAATAATACTCAAAGAAAACAACAACAACAACATTATTAACCCTGTGTACTGGACTACAGAGATTAGTAGTAGACAATTATGTTATAACATTTACAGATCATTCCCATTGGGCTTGGGTGCCTAGCTCTTTCTATCTTTTTTTTGGTTAGGTTTTAAGTCGCATCAACACAATATATGTAATATGGTGACTTTCCAGCTTTACTGGTGGTGGACGAAGACCTCCCTGTTTGGATTCGAACTCAAAGCACTGAGGGGCTTGTACATGTAGTTTGAAGTCAACAAGCTTAACTATCCGGCTATGGACGCCCCTCCTAACTACACAATAAGAGATGAGACATAAATGTATTTGTCGGTTGTCTCATATTTTATGTTTCTTATCAATTAATTGATACATTATTACCATTTGTTAACTACATAATGTATACATATTAACTAACCTTTGTTTATACAGTACTATGACATTTTATACCTACTCCATATAAGTTAAAAACAAACGAAAAACTAAAAGAAAGGTAAAATGATAAATAACTAAATATTACCTCAGTACTCTGTGTATTGATAAGCTTGAGATTTCCCCCGTACGTTCCTAACATTAAATACTTTTGACTAGACTGAAATATACAAGTTGAATAACAATTCTAAGAGATCTGCTTGGTTTTTATTTTTTGACATTTTGACACAAAGTGTACAAATGGTCATGTGTTTATATTTATTATAGATAGTGTTTCTACTGAAAAGAAGATATCTTATAATTATATGCCATTTTATTTTTTAAATATACACAATGTAGTTGTGCTGAAGTGAAATCATATTGATAATTACACAGTGAAATAATCAAATATAATTCACTATTACAGTCATTATCTTCCAAAGAGTATGTAACATGTAAAAGTAAAACAGCATTTACAGTTCACCCAAATCTTTCCAAATATCTTCGGCCAATAAAACAGAGATACCCCAACTTACCTGTATCTAACTTTAACCATGCTGGAACCGAAAGTGAATAGTGTTTGCCATCACAATAAAAGAGCCAGGTCAGCCTGCATGTCTGTGAGTCTATCCAGGCCCTATACTGTAGGCTGACTAAATTTAAATTTTCATTTTGATTTCCCCAAAATTAATAATAAACAGTTCCAAAAAATGGTCCATTTAAGGAATTTAGCTGGTTAAAGGTTTATAGAATTGTGAGATATCATATTAACATACAAGCTCTTCATAATCAGTATCATTAACAACTCTTTTCACATACATGTAAGAATTCATCAGTTCAAACAATGTCTAACTCTCGTTCTTTATCACTTACTGAACCAACCAATCTTAAGCCTGGTAAACAAAATGTATACCATTTATAAGATTTTTAAACCTGATTATGCTGAATTTCTAATGAGGACTAGTCAACATCTATATTTGGAACTGTCCATTATCAACTGAAGGGACATCAAGATGTAAATTTGGCAGTTAGTCAGCCGACAGAACAGAGCTTGGTCAGACTGCACATAGGTACAGGCTGACCTGGCTCTATACTAATAGCAAAGGCTGATCACTTTGGTTCCATCAGGTAATGGGTTTAAGCCTTATTATAAGATAACATATCTATATAAGGTTTACCATTATAAGTGAGTGCTATTAGGTAACTATTGTGAACATTACAACATTTCATGCATTAGAGGAACTTTTTACCTTGCAAGGTCTGGTTACATATAAAACAAACATGCAGTCAAACAAAGATAGAGGTTGTAAGTCATGTTCAAAATTCCAAGTACTGGCAACTAGCAATGATGAACCATTTTCTGTCTTTCTAAATATATTGCTATTGAACTTGGTTTACTTTGCTTTCTTATCTGAAAACCCTTTTCAGTTTATACTAAATTTTTTTGAGTTTGACTGTATAGGAGGCTTATTATAAAGACATTCTGAAACCATTCCAGGAACCAACCAATACTGAGCTATAAGTGTAGTTTCTTGCTCTAGGAAACAATGGCTAGCCCCGGACATGAATGTTTGAGCCCACTTGAAAAGCAATTCTTAGATTACTAGTCTGACATGTTAACCACATGTCTTTGCTGCTTAGTAACAAGTTTCCCTTTTTAACAGTGTTTATTTTATTTTATTATACCTTCTTTTCTTTTGCATGTTTCAGCAGTCCTTTATCAATTACTCCATAGAAAATAAATGAGATAAACCAATTTCATCATCAAATCTTGTGTACCTCTAGACTGGAAGTTTTAAGTGTTTTTCTACCTTGTTCTAATATGTAAAGAAATATAAACATTGTAAATTGAACTAAAGCTTCATGCAATTAACAAAACATGCTCCTAAAATGGCTGTGACCCCAGCACTACTAGTACCCACAGTCTCAGGGTATAGAGTTAGATACATTGACCACTTGGCCACCACTGACTCCATTTGATATCCCCTTGATATCTATAGTTATTTTTCTATAAGACATTCAAAAAAACAGAAAGTTAAAAATAGGGAGAGAAACAACATTTACAAAAAGTAAAATGTGATGCTCTCTAAAATACAACAACAACAAGATAACAAGTGATGGAACTACCAACTCCAAGCTGATAAATATACAAACTGGAAAATGATGTCAAAATTCTGATTAAGACATCATCAATGATGTCATTATAATCTCATAGTTCCATAATATTATGGTGTCATAATCAGATGGTGCCATAATCTCATGGTGTCATAATCCCATAATGCCATAATATCATGTCTTTCCCTTAACATACATATGTGTAATCTGATATGAGGCTGTATATACTTGTAAATTGATACTTAGTCCTTCAACTTTAAATATATTGTTTCAATTCAAAGCAGGAAAAATCCATTACACGAATTCTACAGCTTAAGGGCTAAATCAATGTACCTTGAATTGGAAGATTTATACTTTTACAAACAAAAAAGTCCACATCTGTTTGTAAATTTACCCCCCCCCCCCCCCCCCCCCCCCCCCCAAAAAAAAAAAATTAACATAAACCTATAACAAATTATAGATTATTGTAAATTATTTTTCTCCCCATTTTTATATAGATCTATGCAGAAATTTGACATCAAGAAGCTAAGCATGAAAATGAATATGCTGATGATATTATACCTACCCTTGTGTTCTGAAAAACATAACACATATGTATGTGGTAATTATTTGTGTTTTCTCAAATAACAACACATATATGGGTATATGTGGTATATTATGTAAAACAGAAAACAAATATTTGACTTAAACTGAGAATATTTCAAGGGTTTACCCTCACATGTTTCTATATATCTTTCATTCATCACAGATAACATATTAACTCTTCATACTCATTCACTTGAAATTCCTCGACAAGATCAGACATAGACAAGTTGATATATCAAAAAACAAAAGCACCGCATGTGTTGCTAACGCTCGTCTGTTAAAAAAAAAATCTAAGTTAAAAAGGGGCATAACTCTAATAATACAGCTTCAGAATTGTGTCCTTTGTGTAAAAACTGCATATTGTCAGTAAAAGTTTCATTTTACTGTGAAGTTTCATGTTTTTATCTTTTGAAATGTTTGAAAAATGGGCCACATGAAAGTTTTTTGCATGATGACAATAACAATGACGACAATGCAGCGATCATAATAGCTGAACTTTTTGTTCAAATCAGACACACTAAAAAACAAGACAAGAGTTTCTACAATAAATATATGCCCGTCATTCAAGGACATAATGACATTCATGTTGATTCATTTACAGACAAACGCCCCCAAAACAAATTAGCCAATAAAAATGAAGCATGTAATGTATATAATGAAGCTGCCTGCCAGTTCCAGGGATAAGCGGATCATTTCAGGTTTCAGCCAGTTGCAGCCTCGATACCAAAATACTTGAACCCTTGACCTGCTGAATTTATTAAATGAACTTGTTCAACTTCCTTTTTTGGATCTGTCAATCATTAATTTTGAAAATTTAAAAGTTAGTCAAAGTTAGTCAGCTAACAGTATAGAGCCTGGTCAGACCGCACAAATGTTTGGCTGACCGGGTTCTATTAGTGATTTTTCACCCTATATAACAGAGCCCTATAAAAGGCCACTTCCCAAATCAAAATTTCTTTAAAATCATGCAGTTTTTTTCCAAAAAATTCTGAACTTGCACCTGCATTTCTACTTCACAAATTTGCAAATTTTAGCGATAATTGTTCACATTGGACCAAAAATCAATAGGTTTTAGCCTCTTTCTAATTAAGTGAGAAAACACACTATCTATACAGATGACAAGTCATTTCTGGTTCCAGCAGGTTAAGGGTTAATATAGGACAAACATAGAAGCTGCTGAGATACACATGCTAGTTTGTTTTTATCTTCAAACATATGAGCCGGGTCATGACAAAACCAACATAATGGGTTTGCGACCAGCATGGATCCTGACCAGCCTGCGCATCCGCACAGTCTGATCAGGATCCATGCTGTTCGCTTACAAACCCTTAAACAAGTAGAGAAACAGACTGCGCTGGTCTGGATCCATGCTGGTCGCAAACCCATTATGTTGGTTTTGTCGTGACGCGGCTCATATCATGATCATATGATGGTAAATAAGGTATTGTACTTACAGCAAATGTACAACAGGAGAAGCCATCGTCCTCCGACTCTTTATACGTTCTCATTGCCTTAAACCTAACGTAGAAATAAATTCTAACTTAACAAAAATAAGCTGTTACAAGATCAAAAATATTTCATCATACACATGTAATGTTAATTATGTTTATATAAACTCAATCACTGCATAACATTCATAAAATTCTTTAAAGTAAAATATCTTTTTGTAGTCTTTAAAGGCCCATTAAGCTAAAAAAATAAAGATGACTTTCTTTCAAAACCTTTTAGTATATGATATGTTAATTTATATTTGGTGCTACTTTAATCAGTAGATTAGTATTACATCCTTTGAAATCTAAATCTATCTTTGCTCTTTCTACAGAAGGAAACAATAATAATTTCTTAGATTTTATGTTTCATTAATAAAACAATTTTATTTATAAATATAAACCCCAATATATCAATACCTGCTATAAATAAATTTCCTGTCTAATTTACACCCATCTACACCTCCATACTTTGGTTTTAACTAGAAAATAGATAAGAAAAACACAAGATAAAACATTTCAATTAATTAAAATTATAAATATCATACTTACAAACAATTTGGTTAATTAAATTACATTGTAAGTTACCCCCAAGACATTCAGTAGCAACTGAATATACCCCAATTGATAAAATTCTCCTTGATCATGGTCTGCACTATTCAGTCAGAAAATATTTTGAACTTTTCTCTTAAAATGATGAACGGTTTTATCAAGATTAAATGACGGACAAGTCTATTAAAGAATAATTAGCATAGAAAGAGTTAAAGTCTACTTTTTTTGTAAAATTGATACTGTTAATATTTTCAACCTACAAAGTAATCTCTTGATTTCAAGAAATACCTTCAAACATTTTCCATGAAGAATTTTTAAAGTAATATTTTAATTCTATCTATTAGGATAGATATTAATATTATTCTTCCGGTAAGATTAATTATCGTACCATTTTCATGTAAGTTCTGGAAGTAAAGCTAAGTGGTGCACTGGTATTACCTCTAGGTTCTGGACATTGATGTGGTCTGTAATATAACAACACTACATGTACATACAAACAGTATACTATCTTATAAAATCATTCAAATACAACATGAACTAACATAACATTATTTTCAAAGGACATTGCAATATAATTAATACATTTAGCCTAGGTATCCATTCCTGAATTATTTGTCTTTTTTTTTTTTTTTTTTTTTTTCAACACAGTTTTCAACACATTTTAAGTAATATCTTGGCAGTAAGTCAACTTAATCAGCTTTCCTGTAAATCTAACCAGTCATTACCAATTTCTCGGCCATTGACCATCTACTAACCCCACATGATTTGTGAAAGTGACAAATAATAGAAATATGACCATTAGGCTCAATGTTCAAGATCAAGGGGCAGACATCTATTCTATAGATTCTATAAGTTTGGGTAAAAGCAGGCACATTGGTGGAATCATTGACTCTCTTTGAGCTAGCTTAAGAGCTCTTTTATAAAAAAATTTCCATCCACCAAACCACACTTCCATCTATATACAGACTAGATGGACTTCTGTGGGCTAGCTAAAGATAAATAAAAGACTCTATCCCAAAACCGCTACTTCATTTATATGCTGGCTAGATAGATTCCTAAAATAATCAAATATTATATCATCAAAGTGCTTAAACGAAGCTATCTTTCAATAAATTAAACACAGAATAACTTACTGGAATAGAGACATTGGTGGACATGTTACAACCGGATTTCTGCACAAGGCGTGCTGTTTACGTAGATATTCTGTTACTATCTTGTCTAGACTCATCTCATAATCCATCTGAGATTTCTGTAACAACCCTTTCCTTATTGCTGGACTAAACAAGCTGCTGTCCCTCTCCTTCACGTACTTACATCTATGCTGTAAACTCTGTAATAATAACAAACAGATTCCATTGAGTTAAATTCTATAATTGATCTATTTCTTCAGTATGACATAGCTGCCAACAATGACCTCCCTTACCAGGATTTTCATTTTCATTATTAATATCCCCCTTGACCATTGGGCAAATCGGTTGTTTTTGTTGGCACATCTGTTGCCTCAGATAGAAGTGAAGACCCTACCTTACTAACACAAACCCACAAAAACATCAAACTACCGTTGCATTGATAGCTATAGATTGGTTGTTTTTTTTTTACTTTAAAACCTTTGGTGCCTCATTTGAGTAAAAATTGAAAAATGAAAAGCCCATTTATAGACCTTGTCAGAGGTGACATTGGATTTTTCTATTTTAATAAGCTGATAAAAATTAAGCTTAAAAGAAATGCCAAATTTATGCCTAATTATTTGACTCCTCAAAAAATGATAGTCAAGGTATAGGTAAAAATATTTCTTGCTATCATAATTGCCTGAGCAATAGATCTGTTCAAAATTTACTGTAAATTTTACATGAATGAGAATTGACCCTGTTTCCTTAATGATATTAGTGAAAGGTAAGTTCCTGGTATCAGACTCAAGACCTAAGCATCACATACATGTATCTTAACTAAAGACAACTGCCCTTGAAAAAAGGTCTTTTACTTTTTTACTATATGTATAAAGTGGACATACTCTGCTTGAAGAAACTGGTGTATTAGGGGGCTGTAATGGTTGTGTCTGTCTACCTATACTAAATCTGATAGGTCCTGCGGTTGACCCTGCAATCTGGCTACCACTTGACCCTTGAGTTGACGTTGACTGAGAACTTGGTAACCTTGACGATGATGCTCCCTGAGGTGACAGAGAAGGTTGACTCCCCTGACTGGAATACGCGGATGGTAATCTAGTTGTTGATGTAGTATTGGGAGTTACACCATTAGGATTGAGCTGGGAGGCTGGCAAATTTGGCAAGGATGTGACACCAATGGATAATATAGGAGCTGGTTGACTTAGCTGACGATTCTGTAACAACAAAGTCAGACATTATTCTTTCAGTAAAATAAGATAACATGGAGAAAAAATTAATATAAAGATATCATCACATACATAAATTACTACCAAAATCCAAACTTAGTAAATAGAATGGATATAGCTTACACTTCAGGGTTTCTTTTTCGAACTGATTGTTTTGAAATACACTTTATAAGATACAAAGACACTTTATAAGATTTTTTTTCCCCCAGTAATTACATTGTACAAGCAAAATCTTATTTGAAAAGAATGGGAAAATGCATCAACAAAAGGCAAACAAAAACCATAATAGTAAAGACATGTATTAATTGACTTACTAATGCTCTAGGGGCTGATATTCCTGGATTTGAAGGTGAAAATAGACATGGGCTTCCAGCATGTGCTGGAGGGAACACTTGAAGGTTTGAGGGGTGGGCTGGAGGAGGGGTAACACATCTTGGTAGTCCCGCCTCCCTGTGTAACACATCTGCAGCTTCATGATATCCTGAAACAATTTAAACACACTCATTCAATAGAATTCTTTTTTTTTCATTTTACACAGTATAAGGAACCAGTTTATGTACTACGGCCCAACCTGCAGAGTCCTATATCACATTTGAACTTTTTCCCCCTATATGAACAGTTAAAACAAGAGCTGTCACCCAAGTGACGAATGCCCCCGAAAAGGTTTCTTAAGCATGCAGGTATTTTAAAAAGAAAAGAGAATGAAAGTAACTTCAAAATGTTAGTGTGACCTTTACCTTTGAGGTAGGGACGTGGTTCTTGAACGCAACACACCATTCAGATGTGGTTGACAGTTGTGCCAAATTATTTCAAAATCCCTCAATGTATGACAAAGTTACAGTCCGGAAACGAATGAAGTGGGGACGCAGAGACAGATAGACGGACGGATAATTAGACGGTGCGATTATATTATGCCTCCCTTCGGGGGCATAAAAAAAATTCACTATAAACTATTCAACATAAGGTAAAGGCTCATGACTGTTTCAAGTAAGATGTGAGAGCCATACATATTTTAAAAGCAAATCTTCTTTATAATAAATGTTACTCATTGTAAATTTGTAATAAACCCTTAAGAATCTACCTGCCTGGTAAATGACTATGTTATGTTGGCAGTTTTTATTTCAGTACAAGAAATCCATTACTTGTAATCATTTAAACACTAAAATAACACCTTTTGGTCTTCAAATTTAAGGAATACTCACCTTTACTCTGTAAATGATCATATATAAGCTGAAGAAGTTCCTTTTCATTATAGATTATCTTAGACTGGGCAACAATATCTGCCTGTAATAATAAAACATTGCTGCCAATAAATATAATTTGTTCATTTTTTTTAAAGTCATATCAAATTTGATCATCCTCATTTACAGAAGCTTTAAATACTATGAGCATCACTTAGGTAGAGACACAGCCCATAGTGATCTAAGGTCTATAAGACAGAAATCTTTACAAATTGGGGGCCACAGCTCCACTTTATTTGGCAAGAAATGTTTTAATATTAGTTTGTCAATTGTATAAACATAAAATACGACAATGTTATAATGTATATTAAATAATTATTCTTTTTTTAAATTTTCTTGAAGAAAACATATTAATGCTTTCATTTTAATACTTATTTTAACAACTTTTAAGGTTAAGCCTACAGTTTTTGGTTGGGTTCTATGTCACACAAACATTGTAATAATCATATGACCACAGCTTCACAGACCTCAGATGTCCGTCCAAGCATTATTTCAGGCATGAACAGGAACCTGAGTAGAACCACTGACGTTCTGTAAACTATCACTAGATAGTTTCCTTACATGTAAAAATCCAAAGTCCCCAGAGGAATACAAACCCACAGCTGTTAAGGGTCAAGTGGTTTGAGGTCATTGACTATAATCACTCAGCCACAGACGCCCTAGCTACAGTAACGCATTTCCAATCGTTGAAATACATACAAGTACAATAAATACACAAAAAAGTATCAATATTCAAAGATTTTGATAAAGCTAAACAGGCAAATAAAAAGTTGAGGGGGGATTCAAAAATTTGAGTAATTAGAAGGACCAGAAACAGAGCCAGAGCTTCATACCTTTCTAATATCATCCAGTGTAGCATCACTATATTTATTGGTCTGTTTTCCAGAGACTTTCTCTATAAGTTCTGTAGCATATCTACAAAACTTCACATGCTCCTGTCTCTTATCTTGTAGAATAGGTTCCTTCATTAAAGCTTAAAACAGAAAATAACAAGCTTTATTTTAAATTGATCAAAATTAATCTCAACCTTGTTTTCAACATTAATCAAGTTTTTGATGGCAATAAAGAACAATCTAATTTGACCAGACTCTATCTCATTTGCTTCTCTGTTTAAGGTATTTCATATAGTCAGTCTCAAAATACATCAATGGACAGCTCAAAATTTACAGCAGGACAAGTCCATTTTAAATATTGAGCATGGTTATGGGCAAAGAGCATAAATGATTTGCAACAAAGTTTTCTAAGTCAAAATTACTCAAGTGGTTGACAGTCTTTTTTTTCAAAATATTTTACTCTTTGCATTAGCATCAATCATAGCTCATCAAATTTGAATTTTCCTGAGTAACCTTACAATGATTTTAAGAAAATTAATCTTCTCAAGGATTTAGGAAAAAACCATCCAACTGATATACATATAGAAGAAAATGATATGTTAATATTGTAAACACGTATAAACTTACATTGTAACTGGCCATTAGAGAAAAGAGGTAGTTTACTGATAATCTGTCTCACAGTTTCTGATCTTGCCATACCAGCCAGTGCCTGAAAAATATATACTGACATAAGTAACAGTTCATAGACTGGTTACCTATTCTAGTTTGACTGTGATGAAAGTTTGAAATTTATTGAACAACTGAAACTAACCAGTACAGGTGCCAAATGGGGATTACCCAGTTAAGACTTAAAACCCTGTCAGAGCCAAGTCGTTGTTTCCTTGAGCAGAAAACTTATAACTCATTGCTCAGTACTGGTTGGTTTAAGGAACAGATTCGAAAGTGTGTCAATAAGCTTATAGCTTCCTACACAAATGGACTAAAATGAATTCTGTATAAACCAAGACTTAAAACCACAACCCCTGGCTACTAAATTCCTTTTAACACTAACCTATACAAGCAGTATTAATTCATGCCTTTCTGCCTTTCTTCTGGCAATCTTATAATTCTTCACAGCTGGTTGTCATATTTCAATTCTCTTTTTCTTTTTTTAATTAATGAAAACCACAAAACCTCAGGACTGTCCATGTAGACATGTCAAGAACTTACTTTACATGCCAGAGCTCTGATAGAATCAGCATCTGTTATTGGAGTCTTGATTGACAGCAACTTTAATAGCACCTGAAATAATAAACAGCTAACTTCTTTACTAAGGTCAAAATGAGAACCTAGTTAGAATCTTCACTAAAAATAAATAAAAAGGACATGTTCAGCATCATGCATCACAATAACTTCAAATTGTATAATTTTAATGCACAGTATGATTAGTTTTAAGCAAGGATATTGACAATAACATTTTTCTATTTCAAGATGAAGAAATGGATGTTACCAGTATGGAGCCTGTTCAGATTTGCACAGATCAGAAAAAAATGACCAGCCAATATTTTAATGATTCTGAGTATTATAACCTTTAAGTAGCTCAATGGTATAAATGGGCTTCCCCCCTTCCTGTTTATGGAACAATCCATTATCAATTTTGGGGATATCCAGATGAAAACTGGAAGTTGTTTGGTCAACAGTATAGAGCATGGTCAGACTGCACAGGCTGTACAATGTCAGGTCCAGCAGGGGGAAAGTTATTCAAGTAAATGTTGTTCAAGCTATTACATTAGATACAAAATGTATACAAAAAGATATAAGGTAAAACCTACCATAATTCCATTATTCTCCCTCACACTGTTCCACATCTTGGTAAGAACATCTTCTCCCAGCTTCCAGTTAATTTTCTTCCTTGACCCTGATCCCATATATCTTCCTACACCTCCTCCAAGCTGTAAATATACACATGAATAAGAGAAACAAATATCATCCATTACAGATATCAATTACAAATACAAGTCTCCACATTATAAAGTAGCTGATGCTCAGGCTAAGAAGCCAATAGTATGGTCAGATGGCTAGCCTATGATCTTATTGATGACATGGCTTTACTTTTGCTACTATTGTTAAAGGGGTTAATTATGTGTAAGTAGGATACCCTATATACTCACAATTTGATAAATTATACAGGCAGAACTTAATCACAACAAGCAATTATCATAGTATTGCAAGCAATCCATAAGTCCCCTACCGGTTAGAACCCCATCAACATTCTGAAGGGCCATTCACTAATGTTTCAATTTTTCTCTATTTTAAGTAAATTTGTTGGAAAAGTTCTATAAAAGTGATCACAGGAAACAGTTTTTATGAACAGACAGTCAGACAGACTGAAGGACACTCTAAAGTTAATATTTGAAACATCCCTGTTACCAAAATATAACATTTTAAAAGCAAAATTCTTAAACAGGAGATAACTCTTGAATTAAAGATGCAATTTCATAAAAATTTTCAGCTCTTTTTGACTTGTCACAAATATTGTTATATTTGCCATCTTTTAAGCCTATTTGTTGCAAAGGCAACTGATATTTTTTCAAAATAGGAAGAACAGATAAGACATGCATAATCTCAAGACTGCCATCTACCCATATGTCAAGTTTCATAAAAATATTTCCAGTACTTTTTGAGTTATCACTGGATTCAGTTTATGTGTAAAATTTGCCATATTTTCAGTCTATGTGTTGCCATAGCAACCAGAATTTTCAACATAGGAAGAAAAGAAAAGACATGCATAATCTCAAGACTGCTATCTACCCATATGTCAAGTTTCATAAGAATATTTCCAGTACTTTTTGCTTTATCACTGGATCGAGTTTATGTGTAAAATTTGCCATATTTTCAGCCTATTTGTTGCCATAGCAACCAGAATTTTCAACATAGGAAGAAAAGAAAAAGATGTGCATAATCTCAAGACTTCCATCTACCCATATGTCAAGTTTCATAAAAATATTTCCAGTATTTTTTGCGTTATCACTGGATCCAGTTTATGTGTAAAATTTGCCATATTTTCAGCCTCTTTGTTGCCATAGCAACCAGAATTTTCAACATAGGAAGAAAAGGAAAAGACGTGCATAATCTCCATACTGCCATCTATCCATATACCAAGTTTCATAAAAATATTTTCAGTACTTTTCAAGTTATCGCGGGATCCAGTTTTGTGGACGGACGGACTGACAGACGGACGGACAGACGGACGGACAGACGGACGGAGGGTAAACCTAAAGTCCCCTCCGGTAAACCGGTAGGGGACTAAAAACATAAAACTGACAAAAACTGCTTTAATAATAGTATATGAATTAACACGTAAAGCAAAACTAAAGGGTATATTACGGTGGATAAGTGCATATCAAAATTAGTTCAACTTATAACTGGCAACAAACAATGCTATTTGACCAGAACTGATATAAATTCTATATAAATGAACAAAAAATGTGGTATTATTTACCCGTTCTAGAGGTCCACATACACAGTTAATGATAACATTAAGGGCTGCCCTCTGTACATCAGGGTCTTGTATAATCTCACCATCTGCCAGACCAATCAATATACTGTAAAATAACCAAATCATTCATTATGTTATAATAATTTCATACTTTGACCTAACATTTAAACCAAAATAAATTTGTGAAATAGACTTGTTATGCTTTCAATTAAGAACTTTTCATTATTATTTAATGTGATTTTAGAAATCAAAATATTAACACAAAGCAACAAACAGTATAGTGCGTCTGCAAGGATCTGCAAGCTGGCCTGCTTCAATACTAGTGGCTACATCTATTATTATCACCATAAATGTTAAATCATTTAAGGGACTCCATCAAGCTTTTGAGATATACGCTCTCGACCAATAACTTGTGTGCAAAATGTCAGATCATTTATTAACTCCCTATTCTAAGCGTGAAAATAACCTAACACTGCCAAGCTTTCAAATACTTTGTACTCAAATCAGGCAAAGAATCGCACAAAAATACAATTTTCAATTTGATTCTTATATACGAGTATATATTACTTTATTACCCCTTTGCACATCTTTCCATTTTATAATCTTCAGTTGATCTATGTAACAGTTAAAGGCTTCTGGACCTCAGTTGAGTTCCTTTAATGTCCTTAGTCCAGTTCCTTTATGCATAGTTTTATTACCGTATAACCCCGTTTAAACGCCCCCGGGGGCGTTACATTACATTTTACCAAAACAAAGTTCCCAATTTTTACCGGTCCCTTTTAAACGCCCCCTCTTCCAGCTTCCAGTTACTACCTTGAAACTAACGTTTGAGTCGACCCCTGTACGTGTACACTCTAGGTAAAGTTTAAATCAGCTGATTCTACCTAACGGTATACACGCTTGACACAAGTCATGTACGCATCGCTTCCCAAATAAGGTAATCCGGTTAACAGCATTTTAGTGTATCGGATGATGTCACATGTTCGCTGCTGCGTGTGTTGCCGAAACTTTGGCGGTTTATCACTGCATTTCGAAGAAATGGCTTCCAGAGGGCATCGCTCTTTCACTGCAGCATTTAAATTGAAAGTTATTCAGCTAGCAGAAGAGAAAGGAAAGCATTATGCTAGTCAATTCTTTAAAGTGGACCGTAAGAGGGTTCGGGAGTGGTGCCAGAAAAAAGCACTAATTACAGATCTTGCTAAACCACGTTTTCAGGTAAAATACTGTAGACTACAATTGAACCGCGATTAATTTTGTTCATGTTAAAAAAAATGAAATGAATTGTTTGCCTAAAAATTACTGAAGATTGACTTTTCTTTTTCTAATTTTTCGTCGTTTGCTTTATTTTCAGGACATTGAACAGAGGCTCATTACATGGTTTACTGAGAGACGAGAAATGGGGGTAAGGGTGACAGGAAAGGCCCTTCGTCTAGAAGCATTACATCTTCATCAACAGTATGGCAACCAGTCTTTCAAAGCTTCCAAGGGATGGTTTAATCGATTTAAAAGGCGCCATAATCTCTCCTTCAGAAGATCGACCCACATAGCCCAACACTCCAAGGAACTAACTGATGACAGGGTTGATAAATTCCTGAGGTTTGTAATAAAGTTACGCCGCAGTCGTTCATATGACATGGGTGAAATTGGAAATATGCATGAAACACCAGTATGGCTGGAAATGCCTGGGAAGTCCACATTTGCTAGTAAAGGGGACAGTGAAGTAAGGGTCTCGTCAACTGGACATGAAAAACAAAAATTGACAGTTACCCTGGGGGCCTACGCAGATGGGACTAAAATGGCACCTCTGGTACATCTACCTGGAGTGAGACCACCAAATAAGGATGATATCCCTAGAGGTTTGGTCGTCTACATGTGTGGGTCAGGGCAGAAATCATGGGCCAACGAAGAAAGTATTAAATTTTGGCTGAATAAACTGTGGGGCCGCAACAACCAACGTAGACGTTTGCTAGTGTGGGATGCATTTAGGGGACACATAACACCATCTGTGAAGGAGCAGGTAAAAACTGTCTATAATACAGACATGTGTGTAATTCCAGGGGGGTGCACCTCCAAGCTACAACCTGCTGATGTTTCTTGGAACAGGCCATTTAAAGCGAAACTGGCAGAGCTGTATGATGACTGGTTATTTCGTGGCCCAGTAAGTACAACACCCAAGGGCAACAGGCGGGCTCCATCTAAGCCAGTTCTTCTACGTTGGATCAAGGAGGCATGGGACAGTATAACCCCTGAAATTATCAGAAAGTCTTTCAAGAAATGTGGAATTACTTCAGAGCTTGATGGAAGTGAGGACCATTTGTTTGGGATGATAAGTGATGATGAAAGAGAGGAAGGAGAAGAAGGAGAAGATGATTTTGAAGGTTTTGACAGAAATGAACTGGAAGTTGCTGAAATGGTACAAGAGGCAATTGGGGGACCTGAAGAGCAAGTTCTCTTGCCCGAGTCTGACAGTGACTCAGATCATGACAGTAACATTGAAACAGACTATGATAGTAGTGGACATTGAGTGCAAGTGTTGTTCAGACATTTTTGTGAAGTGATAGTTAACAAGTTATACTACGGTATATTTCATCAGTGTTTAAATACATGGAGTTTTTGTTCAAATTGTTGAATCTTTATTATTAAATAAGCAGTTTAAGGAAGTGTTTTGTGTTTAAAATTCGGATTTGGATTTATGGTACTTGGATTATCATCAGATTAAGGTAGGACTTTTCATATTATTTTGTCAATTTCTTTCTGTTTGGAAAAAAAAATTTTTTTTTTTGCCTGAAGGGGGGGGGGGGGGGCGGCGGCGTTTATTAGAGGGGGGGGCGTTTGAACGGGAGTATACGGTATATTATTATCTGTTGTGTACAACACCATGAAACATATAGTATATGAAGGAATAAGCATATAATCAAATGTTCAAGGATCAAATTCTACCTGATGCCTGGAGTTGTGGCATCATCTGGCATTGGTATAGGGGCCAGCAGTTGAAGCTGGGATTTTGGAGTAACACAACATAGTCCAATAACATCCAAAGCTGCCTTCAATGTCTCCGGCCTGTAATTAATTCATATAGCATTTTAACATTTTAGACTAGTAAATGGTTACATACATTCACAAAACCACCTTATAATTCAATTAACAGTCATCATATAATCATATAACTAGAAATCTATGGACGCTTACACCCAAACTTCATTAGCTGTCACAATTACACATGTAAATACTTATGCATATTCATAAAATTCAAATTTTATATTATTACATAGAGGATATTGAATGAGTGTATGTTCAGTACTGAATTTATTGCATGAGTTGAATAAAATTATATTATGCGAGCCTCTGGCGAGCATAATATTATTTTATTCAATGAGTGCAATAAATTCAGTAATGAACTTGCACGAATTCAATATTCTATTTATCACATACCCAAAATAAAGACCCTTAAAAGTGAAATAAAGACCCTTAAAAGTGAAATAAAAGTCATTTTTCATTGACGCGCCTATAATATAACGCTAACATTTAGCGCATCTTTACACTATGTTTGTATAACGCTTATGATGTCACGTCAAAATATATGCATGGCCGTGCAATACCATATTTACGGAGTCGCGAAATCGGCACGGGTGTGTGATAAATAAAATATAATCCTTACAAAGTTATAGAGCAGTAACACAAATTTCTACATACCATTCAAACAACCCTCTTTAAATCTATTTATGCCAGAGTCCCAGCATAAAAAATGTTAAGAACATCAAAAGCACAGACCTACAGAAGTGCCACTGACCAATAATTATACATGTACATGCCAGGTCTGGCACAAGTTGCATTCCGTAATAACAGAACAAGGGCTTCATTACGCTAAAATTCTACAAAGGCAGGATTTACATGATAAGGAAATGATTCCAAGCCTTCTTCTCTTCAACACTTAGTCACAAAACATTTGATAATGAAATATGATAATAATATATGAATAAATATTCAACTACGTAGGAGTTAAAGAAAACAGCAGTTAAATAACACATACTTTCCAGTGTAGCTACTCCAGTCAGGTGAAATGCCTAGAAGCTGTGTAAGTAGAGTAATTCCCCCTAGTTTATGGAAAGTAGCCTCAGGTTGCCACTGTTGTCTTACTGGCATCATCTCCATCAAGATCTCAATGTTCTCCTGTACCAACTCTGGTGTTATCTTCATAGCCTGTCATAGTAACATGATGATATATACAAAATGAAAAACTATAGTAAATGTTCATATTTCCTGAATTTATTCAACATTCATTCTAACCATCTTTATTTAAAGCCAATGCAAACTTAAAGCTTAAGAGATAATGCAAAAACTTAAGGGATAATGCAATCTTTTTATTTAACAATGCTTACCAGTTTCATTGATTTTAATTATTTAGATATGTTAATATTTGTCAGAATGATTCTTTCAAGAAAATGTCAAAATCGTCCACAAAATAATTGTTACCATAATTTTAACCATTAGTCAGTTCCTTGAAAAACAACTCACATCATTTTTCATACATAATCTTGATAACCTTTATTTAATATCAGGATTTTTAACATGTGAAGAAAGCCAAATCTCACCCATTTGACAATAGACTACTAAATAATTATAGCAACAATATTATAAGTCCATCATACAGAACCAAAAAGGAATAGCTGAATGTGTAAGAATCAAGAAAAACCTTAAACTCCCTTATATCTCACATATAAACCTAACCATTAACCTGAATTTGTGTAATAGATTTCACCCTGCTTTGAATCTGGATTATTAAAGGATATCATGAACATGATACCAAAATTGAGCTACCAACATTATAGACTGACCAGACTGCTGAATATTTAGTGTAGGCTGGCTTGGTTCTATACTGGTGGCAAAAAGGCTAATCACTTTCGGGTACCAACAGGTTCAGGGATAAATATATACCTTATAAGCTGGAGTTTCCGGCTGCGGGGAACCGCCTTCATTCCTGGCATGAGATCTCTTCAGTTCATTCACCTTCAGTATAAGATGAGCCTCAAAATATCTCTTGAGTGCTACACATACATGCCTAGCTGACTGCCTCATGGTGAATATCTGATCTTCATTCGGAGAGGAACTACTGTCTATGTTCATAATCTCCAGTGTACTGATCTATATATAATAAAACAACATGATATATATTTTATGAAGTTTTTTTTCCTTTGGATATGGTCAGAGATCTGTAAAAAATGCTTGTGAGGGAAGACTTTGTCTTATTCAAGATACAAGCATAAAGGGTAGTAGAATATTCAACCTTAAAAAGCTTGACAGATGGTTTGCTGACATTGCTCAGGCCTTGACAGACATTACCTTTCTATGTTAACATAAAGTACAATCAATCAAAGAGATAGTTATATTGTGTTAATTTTAAGCAAAGATGCACAAGACTAATTCAATTCAGCTTCAGAAGTAGAATGTTCATACTGCTGCAAAACAAGATCTTCAAGCATGCTTGATTTTTTTTAGAGTTTTATTATATTTACCTGCATATTTCAAATGAAATGTAAAAGCTATGAAAAGAAATGTATGTTATATTAAAGCTTATATAATTTAAGTATTACACATGAAAATTATTTGAAAATTATTGTCATAAGAATCATCCTAATCTGTTATATCTATTTTTGTTTCATAAAAGAAGTCTCCTAAAATAATATTTTGACCATTCATTTTCCTATTTTATTGCAGATGTATATCCAAAAGAATTTATCTTTCATTACAGCCACAAGTTAAAGTTATTTTCAAATTAAATCTTATAATTCAATACACTTCACAAGGAGGTAATAATGAAAGAGTAAGTAATACATACAACATTGTAGAGTCTGCGTAGACCATCGTGTGTATCAAACTTGTTCAGTATGACAAGGAATGTGAAGGATTGAGTAAAGAACATGGCAGCGTGACACCTACTAGAGTCATGGGAACACTCCATCAACCATAACACATAACTATGAAATGAAATAAAAGTGCATTAATTGTAATGTGCTTTTTCCTCTTCTTTTCTTGGGTGTATTTCAAGACCTTATAACATAGTTAGAATCATATGGTGACCTTCATATTCTAACAGATTATAGAAGTGACTAGTTGGCACCTAGGTAGAATCACAGACCTTTATAGCGGTAGCAGAAGTTACCACATGTGAAAAGAGTCCTTTGTCAATCTTAGTATTCAAAGCAACAGCTCTTAGGGGCAAGTGGTTAAAGGTAAGCAGCCAGAATCACATAGCCACAGATGCCCTCATTAAGAAATACATGTATAACTTTCATACTTTTTGTTACAGCCATGTGTAAGTCAGATGGAAATTCTCAACAGATAAATTAAACATATGAAAAACATTTCCTATGATCACAAGAGATTCTAACAACTTTAAATTTCAAGTCAGCAAAGTGTTTATAATTACATACTTATAATTATGACCTTTCAACTAAGTATAAGTCATGATTTTTCTGTGAAATATAATTATTCTTTTGGTAAAACTTATTAAAAGTGTAAAATTTTATGTGGCCGATAAATAATTTAACTAATAGTAATAACACTTTCTAACACAGTAAACTTACTTTACAAGTGTGGTCAATATATGATCTGATAGCAGGCACACCTGAAATTATAAGATGCACAATATAACCAACAAGTACAGGCAATAAAAACATTTCACTAAAAAATGTCTTAAAAATGTTGATCAAAAGGCATCATTTCAAACTAAATAATCATTATGAATTTGTATAACATAATCAAAAACTATAAGATAATTTTTCTATCTCATGCAAGATTATAACGATTTGAAAATGTTTTCTTGAATTCATTACACTCTCAGTATATTACATAACTTTTAACACCTGGGGCTACTGAAGAGACAATGATGGTCACATGACAACTTTGAGCTTGAAAGACCATCACAAATACTTATATTTCATTAGTAAAATCAAAACTTTTATCACACATACAGGCAAATAGTGAAATTAACTTACCCGTTCCATGGCATCTTCAAAGTAGGATAGATAATAGAGACATAGGGATACACCAGTGGCAGCTATAGAAGGTCTATATACATCTAACAGTTTCTGTACTCCTCCACGATTCAAGAACTCTATAGCAAACTTTTTATGGCATAATAACACAGCCAGGTACTGAAATACAACAAGTATATCTATCATCCATAAAAAATGTTTACATAATATACACAACTTAGATTGTACTGATAAAATTCATTAAGTTAGCACATTATTTTCATTCAACATATTCACCTAGTTATACATGTCATATGAAATTGAACTCTCAGTCTGATATAATGAGAGAAGACAGAACAGTTTAGCACTGAAGCCCTTATTATCTAAATTTATTCAATAAACCCTGAACAGGAAACACAACATTGCCTTAAATATCGCCTAAGAAGAGGGAAAAATCTTCACGCCCTGAACTGACTTTATTTCTTTATGTCTTTCAATTGCAATTTAAAGTCATAATTCACAAATGCATTTATATAATCTATAGACACATTTAAAACCAAATATTCTGTTTTTAAGTACCTGTACTTACTTTTAAAGCTTCAAAAGCTAAGCGCACATCTCTGTTGTACTTCAGGTTAATATAGTAAAATACTAGATCCATTGCCCTATGTTCAAATGCTGCACTGATCAGCTGTAATAGTAAAGTAACAAAAGGAATAAATAGTATGCTCAAAACTTGTAAATTCTACAACATAATGTCTGTTTAATCATTTTGAAAAGCAAAAAGTATGTGTACTAGAATTTTACTGCCAAAGCAAATGGCCATAAAACTTGTAAAAACTTCAGCATTAAGCCAGACTTTGAAGAGCTAAAAGTACTTGTGCCATAATTTGTACTCCCCATGCTAGTGCCCATGCAAGTTAACTTAGAAGATTACATACATTTTTAAATCAGTTTTAAAACAAATATAGATCTTGGATTAGATTTTTAACTATGTAATTAGCTATATTTTCATATCAGGAACCAGGGCTTATAAGTGGAAGTTTGTGAGTCATTTACTCCTGATTTTGGCTTGTGACCCTTTTCCTTCTTTACCTACAGTATGTATTATCAGCATATAATGTGACTTCCAGTGTCAGACATTTTGCAGTCTCTAGACTTCCAAATTTTAGAACTTTAATGGAAGCCCAGTCAGGAACTCTAATTTTTCCTTACACATAACAGAATACAAATAGTAAATACATGGTAAAAATACATTACTCTGTGACAATTAGTGTAACATACCTCCTGATACTCTCCCATAGGTGTGAGGTATTGTAAGATCAGCCTCTGTTTCATACCGAGGCTAAGTGGTTCTAGACTGTATGATCCTATCACATATGGTTGTATATCTGCCCAACTACTGTTACTGACGTCACTCACTATAACAACAACAACATCATCCGTAATTTTACTAACAATGATCGGTCAATGAAACTTACACTACCTGATCTACAATATTTTAGTTTTAAAGATATAAATATACTGAAAGAAGATCCTTTTTTGAACACAAAACAAAATGCATTTTTACAAAAGATGTTTAAAGATATTTCCTAAGTTTTGAAAACTTTGACAAGACATTTACAGGTCAAGGTCATATATATTAATATTTTCAAAGGAAGCTCTCAAAGATAATTTTTGTTGTATTATGAACATTCCAGCTTGCTGAATGAGTATGATATAGTAAAGGCTACAATTGTCTAAAGAGACATTTAAATTTTGTTTAACAATATCAAGATTTCTTGACTTACACATGAAGCTGTCATCCCGAATTCGTTGTCTCTTCAACCTGTACACATCTTCACTGTAGAAACTAGGAGACAAAGTACGCTTCAATCTAGCTCGTCTCTCTTCAACAGTTATACCATTCTTCTGTTCGTCATCCTCAGATTCAGAATCATCCAAATTGTCCGTCAAATTTACACCATCCAATAAACCTTTACCATTACTCTCAATCAAAATTTCCTCATTTTCCACGACATTTGTATGTGAACCAATGTCTAAATCAGTCTTGATTTTGTTATCATTTTTCACGTTCTTCTCTGACAATACATCACTACATCCAGGAGTCTGGCTATAACTGACTATAGGTTTATTCTCACCGACTCCTTTACTGTTATTCAAAGTTGTGATGCTGTTCTCCAGAACATCCACTTTGGAATTTGTCAAAACTTCATTTAGTTTTGTTTCACTTTTGTTATCATTCTCCTTCACTGAAACTAATTTATCCGGACTTTTATTATACAGTTCTGACTTTGAAGGAGGTTTTTCCCATTTGTTTGGAGACACTTTATTTGGGGACACTTTATTTGCGGATACTGATTGATCTCCCTTTGAAGGAGATTTAGAGTTCTTTCCCTTTACTGGAGAAAAAGCACTATTTGAGCTAGTCTTGCAAGGGGAACCAAACATGGAAAAGTTTCTCTGGTTCTCCTCCACTCTAGATGCCTCCGCTTTCAGGAATTCTTCATGCATCTCCTTCTGAAGAGCATGTAAACGTTGAAGCATCACTGATACCTGAAAGTAGCAATCTTAATAAAGAACTGGGTATTATGATTTCAAATCTAGCTAATTCTCAAGAATTTTTACAATTATTTCTCATTGATTAAAATTCACCTTACTTAGATCAAAAGATAGCCAGGGCTAGCATCTACATATAATTTAGGTAAAAATGTAATTTACCAAAATGTATCTTATTTTTCTTTTAAACACATCTTGAATTTTCATGAAAATTAGCATGAATTTGGAGGCATGCCACTTTAAGTTGGTCTTAAATTATTTACATGTCCTTCTTTTATTTTTCCTACAACTGTAAATACATTTTTCTAAATCAAAATTAAAGTAAGTACCAATGCTGAATTTTTCTCCTTAAAATTAGCTGCCACATCTTGTAGCTCCATGGCACCAGCAAGTAGCCCTGTAGCGTATGTTCTCAATGGTTCATCTGCTTTCTCCGCCCATTTAAACAACTGCTCCACAAGCCCCTCCTACAAATGTATATCAACACTGAAAGTCTATCTTGTATAAACATTTATTGTTTAGCCCTTGTCTTTCATATAATATCTCTGTCATGTACCAATGCTCATTCAACCTAAACTTTCTTTCCTTAATTCTGAACCAGTGTTAACTTGTTCACCAAACTATGAGGAATCAGTGGATTATATTAATGGCCTTAAATTGTCTTCTATGATCACTGTGTGTATGTTCATTTATTTTTCTGGTTTATTATGCAGATTGAAATACCTTTTTTCATATATTCTTTGTCAATCCACCAAACTGGCTTTCCTGTATAACTAACCATTAATTACCAATTTCTCTTTAAGTGACTAACAACTTTTCCAACATGATTTTTAAATCAGTGGTAAGAGACAAATAACCATTAGACTCAATATCTGCGATCAATTGTCAAATTTTTCTCACCTAAGGTTCAAACCAACAAACCCTGGATTAGTAATCCAATGTTTTCCCTAAAGAGTTAAAGGGGCAGACTACTCCCTTGTATCAGTGTTACAATATGCATACAAATCTGCCTATACAAATCAAAATTGGGTTTCAAGATATTATAGATCTGTTGCTGATGTCATTTAACTATGCAAATAGTGTTGCAAATACAACCATATATACTGGATACTTATGTTAAATATCAATAAATAAATCCTATTCCTTTATCAACATTTGTAAGACAACAGACCAGTGAGATATTTCAATATGTATGGGTGTGTTAACATACCGTTTCTTGAAACACAACAGACGTCTCAAGTCCTGGGAGAATATCATATAGTAATCGGCAAGCTAGTGTCTGTACAGTAAGATCACGTTGTGCGTGTAACACGTAACTTGAAACGAGCTGTGAGAAACAACCAGAAATTACAAATAACATGAAAACTTTACATAACAAAATCAACAACAAATGACAGAAACGTTCTGACTTTGTGACATTTTTTTTTCTCAGCTTTACTCTTATGTAGTATTGTAAATCGATATTCTAAGGAACTATTTTTGCTTTCAAATCTATCAAATTATCAGTTTCAGTGTAAAATAAATGTAAGACTTTAAATTCAATTTTCAGTGTAAAAGAAAATATCTTAAAAAAAAATAATAAGATTTTAAATTAATGTTTATGAATGTATTCAAATACGAGCTGACAGCTATTAATTAGCAGAGAACTTCATGACAATGTCACAAAATCAGAACAATAAACAGTTTAATGTAACACGAAAAGTAATAAAGAACTAATAACATTGTCAGACTAACGTCTATAACATCATCAACCACGTTTTTGCATACCGTGTCTACATATAAATCACGTTTATCAATGCCATGTGCTACCCCATACAGAAATCTAGCAGTCTGTACACATAATTCAGTGTTGCCATGGGGATCTAGCAGATATTCACAGACCAACTGTAATATTTAACATATACATTGTACATATACAGTAAAATAAGAATACCCTCATAAGAAATAAAGCAATTAAAAGAACAAATTAACCTTCTGAGTGATCAATGCCTATGAAATGTTTGAAGAATTTATCCATCTAAGACTGACTTGGCTTATAAGTCACAATTGTATTTTGTCAAAAAATTTTGACGCAAATGCAACAACATACCAAGTCTTCATTGAATCTGTAAGATTAACAAATTAAGGAGAATGTAACACTTAGCAGGTACTCTCTCACACAGTCACAGATTTAATAAATTTTGCCAAGAATCAAATCTTTTATACAAGCATATAAATTGTATATATTGTATATTTCCCCACAATTATGACAACAAATCATAGTATAAGAACTTACAGAATATTATGAAAATGCAAGACTTCATTTTATGCTTTGAATTTAATTAATAAGAGTTGCCACTCGTGACTTTGGAACAGTTCATAGTTCGGTAAAAAAATACTGAAAGTGGCTTAAATTATTATTATTAATGATGTATTAATTTTGTTACACATACCCTGTTCATAAATTCCTCATTCTTAAACAGGGCCTTAAACAAATGTCCAAGTGTACATGTTGGGTTGGCTCTACCTGAAATAATCAGAAGAAATGCATAGTATGCTATAACACTATATAACATAATGACTGCAAATTACAATACATATAATAATCCATTATATCAGTAATAAACACATAAAGTGTTATTATATCATTTTATACAAAGTATTTACCATCATATAATTTTTACGCAATTATTCAATTTCATGATGCATGGAGATACCAGTTTATCTAGTTACCGTATCTGTATTTTTCATAACATTGGTTTGTTTCTCAGAATATGTTAAATTTGACACAAAAAAAAAATATCACAAACTTTAATGATGTGAATGTATATTCTATTCCTTTTCATTTCCATGCACTTAGTGACTTTGGAATTTAAAGATTCAAAGCTGGTTATCATTATATACATTACATGTATATCTCGTTCTTTTCAATTTTACCAAAATTACTTAGACTATTGTAATAAGTATACATACCTGGATGCCTGTCATCAAAAGGGTCAGGATCCATTTTATAGTAGGCTTCAGTTTCCCTCTCAACTATCTCTGCCAGTCTAAAGTATAAAATATACTTCCAATTAAAACATTCTAAGATAGTAAAGCTAAGTTTAACTATATTGGTCGATCAACCTTATTTTATTCAAACAACCTAATTACCTATCATTATAATGAAAATACTTAAAAAAAGAAATAAAAAATTAAAACAATTGTAGAGATTATACACATGTTTACCAAAAATGAAAGAAAAAATTGTTGACTGTGATTTTTTTTTACATAATTGTATATGACAATAATTGTTATACATGCAGACTTTATACAGAATATGTAAATTATTCAACACATTATGAATTTATGTACCAGTCAATTGTAACTCTACCTCCCTAACAATTAGTCTAAGGAATAGCAGGAACTTTGACTTTTAGACTATCAAACACCCCAGTGAATGCCCCATTCTGTACAAAAGTCATATGTTAAACCCATACTCAACACACTACATTAGTTAGTATTCTAGTGCCAAAAGAATCAGAATGGGGACAGAGTGATGACTAAACTGCGACTTATTTCCCCCACTAAACCCAAGTAAGAGGGCCAGTGTTACAACTGTATGGTACATTACTTGGTTATTTTTGGAACTGGATTAGACGTAGCAAATCCTGCAGCAGCATTCTCATTGTTCCATTCTTCAAGAATACTGTTTAACTCCGCTAAAGAGTCTAAAGCTGCCATAATTGTGCTTTGTCAATCTGAAAAGAGAATCAAAACATAACTCTCCAACTGCATAAAAATGAACAAATGAATAATTGCTAAAAATTATTTAAATTATAAAAAATTTCAAAGAAATTAGACTGACACCTTGTAACTCTTACTACAACTAACATCAAGTTGGGTGACAAATATCAAGTCAGGGCTCACGCTGTCGGACGCCATTTGTGATAATTTTATAAGATTGGCATATATGTACATCTAAAAAATTGGCAGATTTTGATAAATATTATCAATTTCTGATAATTATTGTAAAAGTCTATTGAAACGCTATAATTCATATTTTAAAAACTCACATGTCTAAATTCTGGATACTGATACCTGTTATAGAATGGTTGAAAGTCGGACAGAAAATGTGCCAATAACGACACTGAATTGGGTAGCAACTTATACATACTAACAATTACTGGAAATAAATACAATTCGGATAAACAAATAAACAGATGGCGTTAATAATCGAAGGAATAACTTATTGATACGAACGTTCATTTCCAATTCAGCTTGACAGGCTTCGCAAAACTGCTGAAAAATTCGCCTGACATTTGGTCAGACAAACTTTCAATTCTTGTCTGACCGAAAGATCTTTTGTCTGACCGAATCTTCCTCGTTGAAAACCAACCAGAAGCGGCCATTTTTCCATTTACCTATAAATTTTCTCGGCGGGCGCCTGGACTCGTATTCCTTTTGTTTCGCATTTTTTTCTTCATTAGATAATTTACGTTTTTTGCCTGGCGTAACGCCATCGTAATAATCATAAATGCAGTAACACCAACATTTTCTTCAGAGTACAAGGTCATTGAATGTCGTATGTATCTAGAATTTGATTGGACACTTATTATGAAACGGCAAATCAAAACTGGTTTTACATTTTTTTTTTATTTAAGGGAGAAAACTCGGTCTTGATCGGTCTTGGATATATCCCGATATTTGTACCGAACATAAGGTCTGGAACTCGGAAAAAATATCAGACAGACCTGATTTTTGCCGGACATGTCCGACGGTCCGGCGACTATCGCGGAGCCTGGTGTGATAATTGGTTACTGCGTCATAAAAAAGGCGCTTTGCAAATTTCAATGCGTCATTTGTGTAACTATTGCGTCAAAAACGAAAGAAACACACAGTAGCGGAAACACTGTGTGAGATCTGATGTATATATTTGTATAAGAACTTTCAAAATATTGTCCAACATTATAATAACCATTAGATATTCATCAGTTAGCCACAGACCACAGGGACCCAGCACAGTGTTGGGATAGTGTAAAAAAGTAATTTTTAAAAAAAATATATATTGTATATATAATATATAGACAAGGGGTGGAACTCGCAAAATCGGCCGAATGCCCCTAGTCCAGTATAAGTCAAAATTTCAAAGTCATTCTTGCGTAAATTATATAAAGCTATATATCAAATTGCAGCTAAATGACATCACTAGACGTTGACAATAACATTACTGTCCCCACTTAAACCGTTTTTGAACAACAAACCGATATTTCGGATGAAACATCGTATTTTTGCTAGGTCGGACAAAACTGTGCAACCCTTCAACACTCGATTTTCTACGTGTAAAAACGCAATTCCAGACCATGTCAATATACCAACCCACAATAAATCGATAAAACAAAACAAAATAAACAACTTACTGCTGGAAATTGTTCCAAAACCAATCAATTATAGCAAACATTCATTTCTTTTTATTTCTCTTCCGTCAAAATATTTTTTGAAGCCATGATACATACTCGGCAACGGTTGTAAGACATCGTTTGATTGGACGATTCTGTGACCCAGCAATGCTTTGTATTTTAATCAACCAATGAAATAATCCGTTTCAAATTGGTCACGTGATAGCCAATGGATGCTGATTACAACTTTCATTTTCACATTCAGGAATTAATTGTTTACAGACGCTATAAAACATTTTAAAAATCAATTTCCGGCGGTAAGTTGTTTCTTTTGTTTTGTATTATCGATTTATTGCGGGTTGATATAATGTCATGGTTTGGAATTGCGTTTTTACAAGTAGAAAATCGAGTGGGGACAGGTTGCACAGTTGTGTCCGACCTAGCAAAAATACGATGTGTCATCCGAAATATCGGTTTGTTGTTCAAAAACGGTTTAAGTTGGGATAGTAATGTTATTGTCAACGTCTAGTGGTGTCATTTAGCTGTAATTTGATATATAGCTTTATATGATTTACGCAAGAATGACTTTGCAATTTTGACTTATACTGGACTAGGGGCGTTCGGCCGATTTGGCGAGTTCCACCCCTTGTCTATATATTATATATAAAGTATAAATTTTTTTCTAGAATTACTTTTTTTACACTATCCCAACACTGTGCCGGGTCCCTTTGCCACAGACATCGTCTTTAAATTGATAAACTGAATACCCAAAATTTACCGTACAGTGCAAATTATGATTTTTGTTTTAAGCTGCTTGACTTAATCGCAAGTGGCTTTAAGCCTAGTCAAAATTAAATGTGTTTAATACAGCCGTTCATTGTTTATTTTCATATTGTCAAAAAATTTGAACAGTTGAATAAAAAATAAAAACAATTTCCACTTTTCAAATATAATTTGGTAATGAACAGTAAATTGGTCATGTCGTTATAACAATAATTTATGAAACAAGATTTTTACCACAACAGAAGATGACAAGACGATCTCAGATTTCGTTTCAACAAGAAGTTAAAAATTGCATGTGCGAAAAGTAAACGCTACCGCCATTTTGAATGTTTTGCAATTGTAGACTGGGTCTCAATAGAAGTACAAGAAAGACACACAACTGCCAAACGCTGAGTGTTTCATTCACATGTTGATGGTAAATGTATAAAGATCATTTATAACATGTATTTACAAGCTAAATCTTGTGTTAAAATTAATTCTTTTAGTCATATGTCGGAATTTTTTACAAGTCATACAGGCGTTCGTCAGGGTGAAAATTTATCTCCCATATTGTTTTCTTTATTTTTAAATGATTTAAACTATTTCCTGTCACAACATTTTAATGGTCTGGATCTACTATCAAACATTGTAAATGATACCCTGAGTGATTCTGATGTTGAAATGTATTTTAAATTGTATATTCTTTTATATGCTGATGACACTGTTATATTTGCTGAATCTGCTGAAGAACTGCAAAAAGCACTAGATGCAATGTCAAATTATTGTCAATTATGGCATTTACAAGTTAATCCTAGTAAAACTAAAATTGTTGTTTTTTGTAAAAGTAAAAGAGGTTTATGTAATATTCCAGCCTTTAGTTTTGAAGGAAATTTGCTAGAAATTGTTGATGATTTTTCATATCTGGGTGTTAAGTTCTCTTATCATGGTAAATTTGCTAAAACAAAGAATCATTTATTAGAACAGGCAAGGAAGGCTATGTTTTCAATTATAGTTAAGGCTAGAAAATTGGATTTGCCTATCAGTATGCAAATTCATTTATCTGATAGCATGGTAGCACCTATATTGTTATATGGTAGCGAAGTGTGGGGAATTGAAAATGTGAATATCATTGATAGATTTCAATTAAAATTTTATAAACTCATATTAAATTTGAAGCAAAGTACTCCAAATTGTATGCTTTATGGAGATTTAGTGATATTACCTTTATCTATTCATATAAAAAGTAGAGTTTTGTGCTTTTGGAATAAGATTTTAAGTAGCAAACAAGAACTGGGTTTATCAAATTTTTGGATTAATAATGTTGCCACTTCTCTTCCATTGTTTAAGAAAATTGTTAAAAATAGACTGAAAGATCAGTTCATTCAAAATTGGCATAGTGAAATGTCACAATCAAGTAAATGTCTGAATTATAGAATGTACAAAAGTGAATTCAGATTTGAAAAGTTTTTAGATATTTTACCATCTCATTTAGCTTTGGTACTATTGCGCTTTAGATGTATGAACCATAAAATGCCTATTGAGTCTGGTAGATTTTGTAATATACCAAGAGAATTAAGAGTGTGTAATTTATGCAATAATAGCTCACTTGGTGATGAATATCATTATTTATTTAATTGTCAATTCTTTAATACTGATAGAAAAAAATATATTACTAGAGAGTATAGTACTAATGTTAATTCAATCAAGTTTTCTATGTTAATGAATAGCACAGATAGGAGTATATTGTTAAAACTTGCAGTATTCTGTAAAAAAATTATTTCAGCATTTAAGTAACTGATAACTAAGCTTATTTTCATAATGTAACACTTTCATTTTTGATTTATATTTGCCATGTAATACACCAGCATATTTCGTGGATATCTCTTTATATGTCATACTATATGTATATATTATTGTATATGTGACTGATGCCTCTATGAGGCCCAGCATTTTCAATAAACTGTTCAAACTGTTCAAACTGTTCATTTTAGGAAAAATCAATAGGAAAAATCTTGCTTTGTTTTTATTTTTAGAAATAATTACTACATGCAATTAATAATTATAACATTCTATCATTAGTCTATTAGAATTTTTTTTTAATGAAGCAAACATTTGGGTTATTATAAAGAATCGAGTCATATCTTTAATTTATTTAACGGGCACTCATTCTCCTGTTTTTATGAACTATTTTCTGTGTTCCGGTTGTTACATGTTTTTATGTCGCATGTTCTTATGAACCATAACAGTATTGAATAAATCTTGAAATCTTCATTAAGATTTCATCGTGCCCACATCATATCAAGAAAAGGACAATCTGACTAAGTTTCAGATCTATTTAAGTTATTTCTTGCATGTTCTTTAATTAAGGGCTAATATTAGTCAGACTGAGAAAAGCACTCTTTTATAGTACCGATTTGATGAAATACATGTATATCACCAGGTATTAATTTATGTACCTGATAGAACTACACATATAAATATGTTTAGTAAAACTAGCTATTGTATCTTTATTTAAACAAGCAATTATCATAGTATTGCAAGCAATCCATAAGTCCCCTACCGGTTAGAACCCCATCAACATTCTGAAGGGCCATTCACTAATGTTTCAATTTTTCTCTATTTTAAGTAAATTTGTTGGAAAAGTTCTTTAAAAGTGATCACAGGAAACAGTTTTTATGAACAGACAGACAGACAGACTGGAGGACACTCTAAAGTTAATATTTGAAACATCCCTGTTACCAAAATATAACATTTTAAAAGCAAAATTCTTAAACAGGAGGTAACTCTTGAATTAAAGATGCAATTTCATAAAAAAAATTTCAGCTCTTTTTGACTAATCACAAATATTGTTATATTTGCCATGTTTTAAGCCTATTTGTTGCCAAGGCAACTGATATTTTTTCAAAATAGGAAGAACAGATAAGACATGCATAATCTCAAGACTGCCATCTACCCATATGTCAAGTTTCATAAAAATATTTCCAGTACTTTTTGAGTTATCACTGGATTCAGTTTATGTGTAAAATTTGCCATATTTTCAGTCTATGTGTTGCCATAGCAACCAGAATTTTCAACATAGGAAGAAAAGAAAAAGACGTGCATAATCTCAAGACTGCCATCTACCCATATGTCAAGTTTCATAAAAATATTTCCAGTACTTTTTGCTTTATCACTGGATCCAGTTTATGTGTAAAATTTGCCATATTTTCAGCCTATTTGTTGCCATAGCAACCAGAATTTTCAACATAGGAAGAAAAGAAAAAGACGTGCATAATCTCCATACTGCCATCTATCCATATACCAAGTTTCATAAAAATATTTTCAGTACTTTTCAAGTTATCGCGGGATCCAGTTTTGTGGACGGACGGACTGACGGACGGACAGACAGACGGACGGACAGACGGACGGACGGACAGACGGACGGAGGGTAAACCTAAAGTCCCCTCCGGTAAACCGGTAGGGGACTAATAAAGATGTTGCCCGATAAATGATTGGTAAAGCCTATATATAGGTAATTTTTTTAACATGTAGTCCTAGGTTCCTATGAGTCTTAGTGTTTTTACTGGTTGTGTGTTTACTAAATGTCATTACGAAATCAAAGATCACGCCCAAGACTTTTTTCCTTATTTGCCCGTTGGATTAAACAAATTTTATCAATTGCTTCTTTCATAAAAAGCCAATAGGTACTGTTCGCCAAATGAACATTATTTGGCATTTTTTGTTGTATTGTTTGTATTGAAGATGATTGGATGATTTGCTATTTCTTTACCAGTCACATGCACCAGAAATGTATTAAACCACGGATTGTAATATAAATCCGTGATTAAACAAATCTTAATTAAAAAAATATTATGCAAGTAATTCAAATATTTGTAAAAACAAAATAGAGATCTTACAAAATATTTCTTGCAAAAAAGAAAAAAGATTAGTATGAACTATTAAATGATGAAAAATAATATTTTGTTCTAGAACAATTTATTTTATCTGCTACATACAAATATGTTTTATCGGATCGTGTATCTCACTTTTACCAACAACATCCATACATGCATATCATTATATCGTGGTTTGTTATCATGTTTGATACGTATTACTATCAGATAAAATACTTTTATTATGGACAATCTCTCTTTAAAGAACATCCCAAACCAGCAAACAATTTTAAAATGACCCAGTTTTATTGAGTACTTTTATGGACGACAGTGGTGCAATCAATTCTCTAACACCCGTTCATCAAGATGATATGGAAAATGAACCAATTGTGGACCAACTCACTTTAAGGTCTCCATTTTTTACTATCTTTATATAAAAATATAAATGTATTTTACATATCATGTTTCCATTACTTAAATAAAAAGCATTTGATAATGTAAGGAACAGATTTAGATTTTTGTCTGCCTATATAATCAAAGATATAAGAAAAACGCCAAAAATAGATCTAAATTTACATTTACTGCCATATTCTCTACTTCATTGTTGATCTTTATTTTCATATTTTATGCTCTTAACTGCATTTTTTTGTGTCGTGTGGAGGCTGCAAAATGTTGTATTTCCTCCTGAAGGGATTGTTGGCATTTATTTATATATTTTTATTTTAATTTTCATTAATGCCTACTTATTTTGTCCCCACCCTCCCCGGTCCTTTGGTCGCGTTCCTTTTACCCTTAACCTTTTGTTGACCTTTTAATCACTTGACTTCCCTAACTTTTCTGTCGGTTTCACTTTAGTGTTGTTTTTTTTTCTGGTTGTTCGGGATCATTGATGCTAGCACTATTAAGTGTTGAAAATTGAGTACCACTCAAGTCGGTGCTAGAGGCGTGAGGGATGTTGCACTATTCTTAATCCCTCATGTACAGACTCATTCAACCTGAGTCTGCAATTTTCATGTTATTTTTGTTGTGATTAATGCTTCCGATGGATCGTATCGATTTATTTAGGGAATAGACATAAACAAATACAATGTTAGCACATATATCAACTTGCATATATATAAAAACACACACATAAATGCAACAAAAATAATTATAAGATTAATTAATGAGTATGTTCTATGTTACCCTAGGATTGCCCATTAAGCTAAAAGCTTATTTCCAATGGGATCCATTTACTATAAAATTATCACACTTACATAATAATAAATGAATTATAAAGATGTTAAAATAAATAAATAAAATAAATGACAATTTTTGCAAAATTGTTCAACAATCAATACACATTTTTCAATATTATAAGACAAGTACATTGTACAAAAACAAAATGAAATAAATTCCGTATAAACTAAAACATGATCAAATACAACATTACTTTTACATCACTTTGTTCCCAGATTTTTTTTCTCTATGATTTCCTGTAGTGAATTGTCTA